TGCAAGAATTAACTGAACGCAATTTTGTTGCCCGTCAAAATGCATGTAAAATGCTGGTTGACAACCTGCCTGAAGACACGGTCGTTTTTTTTCAGTGGCGAGGCTCACTTCCACATTTCCGGCTGTGTCAACAGGCTAAACATGCGTTATTGGTGTGGTGTAAATCCACGTGAGTTTCACCAGAAGCCACTTAACTGTGAGCGAGTTACTGTCTGGTGTGCGACGTCGGTAATGGGAATAATTAGTCCTTATTTTTTTAAGAAAGCGAACGCGCAGTTACCGTTAATGGAGCTCGTTACAGGAACATGATCGAGGAACTTTTTCTTCCAAGACTCGAAGAAATGAACTTTAGGAACATGTGGCTTCAGCAAGATGGAGCCACAACACATACAGCACGAGACTCTATGAATTTGTTGCGACATCATTTCCCCGAACGCCTCATCTCTCTCAGAGGCGATCTCCAATGGCCGCCACGCTCTCCAGGTTTGACTCCATGCGATTTCTTTTTATGGGGATATTTGAAATTTCTGGTTTATGTCAATCGACCACGGACCATAGCACACCTCAAGAACAACATTCACGACGTCATTGCCAAAATACCAATTGATATGCTGCATAGAGTGGAAACCATTATAAAAAAAGCGACTTCATTAGTTTATGCACAATGGAGGCTGTCATTCATGAGATTTAATTTTCAAAACTATGAAAAAAATTTGGGATACTGTTTTCTTGAATAAAAAAAATTTAAAACAATAACTGAAGTACTTTTGTTTTTATTGACCTTTCAAATAAGTAAGTTTCTGTGGCGCACCCTGTATATTGCGTGACGGGCTTACAGAGCATTGGTCCTAGGGTGAAACTTGAAGGCGAGGGGCGTGATGGGCTACTATATATAATTATATATCATTGTCACCTGATAGGCTGACAGTCACCCTATTAGGGTAAACACACCATATTCCAACACCTTAAGGACGTAGCAAGAAATAAATGGCTCTAAATAGATCACCATATAAGGACGTAGCAAGAAATGAATAGCTATATATAGATCACCGTATGCGCAACTTGAGTTCTGATTGATTTACATCACTCTCAAAACACCACACTATGCGCCAGCAAAGATGAAACATCACAAACTGTTGCCATATTTATTTAAAAGCTTTAGAATTCAAATCTACAATATTGCTGAATTCCGACACGTGTGACTAAATGCAGTATATTGTGAGACTAATTTGGACAGCGCTTCAAAATCATCATTCATAATTCTGACACCCTGTGTGAGCTGTGTTGGAATATGACACCCTGTGTCATGTCTGTGTGTTGTAATTCCAACACTGTGTTGGAATTAGTTTTGATGTGTCTAAAACCTTCTTTTAAATCAATCATCTATTGATTTATTTACCACTTAAAATCAGTAAATACAAGTATACTTAAAGGATTCCTAATATATTCACAGACTTATTTACAAGTCTCAAACCATAATATTCTTTCTAAACAAACAGTTTATCACTATTTGGTAGAGCAAGGTCAACTTTCACACGTGTTTTGATGTTCTCACTGGGTGACTTGGACTTTTTCTCTGTGGACCTTAACATTTTCCTGCCAGACCTAGTGTTTTGTGGAAATATTGCGCGCAATATTTCCACAAATATTGCGCACCGACATGTGGAAATTGCGCGCACCGACATGTGGAACAGCCTCCCTATAGCATCGTTGAAGCTCCGAGTATGAACATCTTCAAAAACAGACTAGACAAAGCTATGCAGGAGCATATGTTCAGTCTTAAAATGCCTAGCAAATTACGGAGTAGGCAATAAGTCCAGCAGCTATCTCAATCAATTGTCAGTTATGGAAAGATCGGGTTCCAAAGGAACCCGATCCTTGTGAATCAAGTCACGAAAAGTTCAAGAATCGGCAACAGGCCATGGGCCTATTTCTTCAACGCCGACACTTCTATTCTATTTTATTCTATTCTAATGGTATGACGTCACTATTTCAACCATCTATGCATGCGTGGAACTAAGACAAAGCTTAATATAAAGGAAAAAGAGAAGTGTCGGTATTACCCAGTGTTGGAAATTCTGAATATGGTGCGTTTACCCTAGTAATAGGGTCACACAGACACAGTCACACATCATATCTCATAGCTTGTCCTTGAAAACCCTATATTATGCTACATATACATAGAATACACTTGTCACTGCATAGTGGCACAGCAGAGAGTTTTTTAGACTCTCCCTCAAGCAGTGTGCCAGACTGGCAGTGCCTCAAGTTCATTTTTGAGTCCTAGTATAAGTAGATCAGTAAAGTATCATGGTATTCACCAAAGATGGATACCACTCACTAGCATTATTATACATAAGAAATTGGTTTAATTCTTGAGTAACTGAGGAAATTAAAAATGAACTGATTCTAAAAAATATCTGGTTTGCAGTTTGCCACTAAGCTTGTCAGAACTATGATTTGTAGGTGTTGATAACCACATGACTACAAAGCTGTTTTGACTGTGCTAGAAAGATGTAGTTAAATTTTGTTTATAAATTGACTATTTAAGTGGCATGACCATGTTATCTGCATTAAAGATGTTACTAATTATTTTTTTCTAATGCTGATATCCATGATACTTAACTTGTATCCACACATGGAATTTACCTAATTTTCCTAAATGAATTACCGTAAAATGGGGTAACTTAGACCGGTGGGGTAACTTAGACCACTTTTTGTTTTTTTTAACAAAAACCCCCACTACTCAAAAACTATTTGACATAGAAAAATTTTGTCAATGGGCATTAAAGGCCTAATACTGAGGCTACATAACACAATATAAAGATTTGAAAAGTTTGCATATCTAATAGGTTAAAAAATTAAAAATGTGACCCATGAAAAAAAGCTATTATTCAAAGCCTGTCAGAGTACCCCCTCCAATTTTTTATTTTTTGGTTAAATAACTCCAGGTTTTGATGCATTGTAGTAGAACTCTTCTAGTTACATATGCAAATGACAAATTTTAGGAAAGTGTCATAGTTTGCAAATGGGGGGCGCTGCCCCCAAATGGGGTAACTTAGACCACCTAATGTCAGCCCTGACGGGGTAACATAGACCGGCTTGGAAGTTTATATAAAATTACCATATGTAACATATTTTATGTTTGACAGCCTATTTATGTTTTTTCTTTATGTTTCAGACTCTACAGAGTCTTATATATGGTAATTTTAACTTAATTTCCAAGCCAGTTAATATTACCCCATCAGGGCTGCCATTAGGTAGTCACATTTCCTTCATTATGGGGCGGTGCCCCCCATTTGCAAACTATGACACTTTCCTCAAGTTTGTCATTTGCATATGTAACTAGAAGAGTTCTACTACAATGCACCAAAACCCGGAGTTATTTGAAGTTATTTTACCAAAAAATAAGATTGATTTTATCACCCGGTCTAAGTTACCCCAAGAGCTGGGGTAACAAAGACCATCACTTTTTTTGAAAGACTATGAGAGGCAGGAGCCAGCAATTTATGGTGAGTGAAGCTAGAGTATAGACCTGTATTTTGCATGTTTCAATTCAAGTTTAATTTAGCTAGTAAAAAAATGGCATCATTTATAATAAAAAAAGTGGTCTAAGTTACCCCATTTTACGGTACTATTTTTGAGCTTTGATTTGATAAATTTTGCTATCTTAAAGAAAATAATAATCCCTCTCCTTATCCATAAAATTACCTTTCATGATTTATCTATCATGGTTTGATTAGGGAATATTACTACTCATAAATATTGCTAATTTTATAGCACATTACTACAAATTCCAGCCCAAATTCCCATGCTCAAGACATTTTTATTGGTATGTTTTACATGTGTTACACATTAAAAATCGAGTATGTATGACAAGTTAATTGTGTCAAACCAGGTTTGAACCTGGTTTGAAACAATAAAAATTTTGGGTCCCGAAAATGCCAACTTTTGATCTTGACTGATGATGGTGGCCATTACACTTTATTGCTAATTACAATTTATGATCTATATATATATATATATCACAATAAATTCAAGTAAAAGTTGGCTAAATTTTTCTCCCATGTATTCCACAACCCAATATTACCACGTTTTTCTTAGTTTTGCTTTGTCTCTGTTGGTCATCAAAAATTCAAACCTTAATTTAGAGCTCTTCTGAAGATCCTAGAAACTTAAAATTTGGCATGCATGCTTATGCTGCCCAGCAATTCAAGATTTGATCATCAGAAGTAGGTAATAATTTAAAAAAAATTGTATATCACGTTTTTCTTAGTTTTGCTTTATCTCATCGCTGTCTGTCTGTCATCAAAAATTCAAACCTTAATATAAAGCACTTCAAAATATCCTAAAAACTTGAAATTTGGCATGCATGCTTATGCTGCCTAACAATTCAAGATTTGATTGTTGGAAGTAATAAGTTTAAAAATTATTTTTTACATTAAAAAAAATTTAAAAAACCTAAAAATTCACATTTTGTAATCAAGTTTTTTTTTGAACATTTAGACTTGCCAACCCTGCAAAAGGATTTGAATTGCTAAAATTGCTAAACTAAAAAGTAGAAAATAAATAAATATAAATAACATTTTTAATAACCACGTTTTTCTGGTGGTTACAAAACTAAAAACAATGAAATCAAATATAATGAAAAAACTTTTAAAAACCATGTTTTCTTAATGGACAAAAAAGAAAAACATTAACTCTTACATAACATTAAAGTTATGTAGAATGTTATGTAAGGTTATGTAAAGGTCTTGTGAGATTCTTTTTTATCCGTTAAGAAAACATGGTTTTTAAAAGTTTTTTATTATATTTTTTTAGTTGCTATTGATCATGTTCAAAACTGGTTACACTATTGCCTTTTCTTACAGTAGGTTTATTGCCAAACCAATTTTAAATTGGGTAATAATTTACCATGCCCTTAATTTGTGACCCATGTGGCCACACCTGACAAGAATACAATTTTTTCTTCTGTGACTAGCTTATGAATATATCTGAATGTTACAGGCCCATCTATGTTGATTTACTGATTGCTAAAATCAACATGAATGCTGTGAAACATAATTCATTTTATTTGTAAATGTCAAGTTGATTTAGGTAATACAACAGCTAGTATGGACTCCAGTGGTTTACTCTCATTGAAGTGGAATAATCACTCGAGCACCTTTACTGGTGTGCTGTCTCATCTTAGGATTAATGTAAGTGGCTTATTTATTCATTAACTTTTGCCTTATTTATTCATGTGTCATTTCAATAAGCAGCACAGGTAAGATTTATGTAAAATATGTGTTTAATTTTGAGATAGAATGCAAAACCCACTAGCCAAAGTAAAGTATTTTTGATGTGAATAAAGGATTATATTAATAAGAAATTGCATTGGCAAATTTAACTTTAACATGGTGTAATATTTAAAGCTAAATTTGTATGATATTTAAAGAATAATGTAGTTCATTTTTTTTCATTTTGCACAGAATCTGTACACTGACGCAACTCTGGCATGTGAAGGGAAAGTCTTCTCAGTTCACAAGCTGGTCCTGTCAACCTGCAGTGAATATTTCCAGAAGATATTTGAGGAGACTGACTGTCGGAGACCTGTTATTGTTCTAAAAGACATCAAGCACACAGAATTGGATGCTCTTCTTAACTATATGTACTTAGGTGAAGTAAATGTTCTTCAAAAAGATCTTTCAGGGTTGATAAAAGCCGCTGAGTGTCTGCAAGTTAAAGGTCTTGCAGTTGCAGATGATGTCCCTTCACCGCCACACAGAACTAACAATTCAACACATTTCAAAAAATCAACAAAGAGGCTAACATCAACCAGTTCTGATCAAGAAAAGTCTAAGAGATCACGAAGAGAACCTGAACAAATATCAGATGAAAATGAGCACACTCAAAGTTCAACAAGTAGAGGGAAGTTCAATGCAGCAAATGAACTTCACAGGGAATCTCGTCAATTGTGCAAGGCAAACTCAAAACCTTCTGATGATCAAAGAGCTTTGAAGGGAACTAGTCAAGAGGTGAGGTTTATATATATATATATTTTTATCTGGCAATTCAAAACTTCATCATTGAGTATGGTGCTTTTATCTCTTTGACACTTATGAATACCTATATTTAGGAGAGATGAATTGAGTTCTTATTCTTATTCTTCTTATTCTTATTTGCAATCATTTCTGAATACCTAATTTGCTAATTTTTCTGTCTAGTTTAATTGCCATAAAACAGGACCATAGAATTAGAGGGTGACTTGATCAGTTTTGACATTTAAGAAAAGAAAATCCTATACTACTCAAGAAGTTCTTGCCTTACAAAAATTGTGTTGAAGGCTCGTGAAGTACCATGAAATAACCTACATATGCAATAAAGAGAAATATTTATATATTCATTATGTGACTATTTTTATCACAAAAAGATAAGCACTATAAATGGTCCAAATAACCCCTACAATGGTCTAATCACCCGATTTTATGGTATGCAAGTTTCTTTTCTGAGTTAAATGTTCTTATTGATATGTTATAAATGTTATTGTCTGAAGTTGGTGGCCTTGACTGTTCATTTTAATTTTTCTGGAATGAAAATTAATTTAAGTGAAGTTGTTGATTTCAAATGCACCAATGGGTATCACTGCTCACAGACATTACCAGAGTCATAAGAGATAGATTCAATTTTTGTAATGACTGCATGTGTACCAACATGTTACAGTGTATCTTGTTGCTGCACTAATCTATCTAATGTCTTCATTCAATATCATTTGTGTTGATAATAAATTATCCCACCTACCTACTAGAAATTTGGGATTAAACAATTTTTGTCATAGAGAAATGAGTTAGGTAAACTAATTTTTTAATTGTGTTTTTCTCCAGATAATATTAGATGAAGAGATCAAGAGTGAAGCATTCTCTCCAAAACTGGAAGATGTTGATGATTATGAAGCTAATCCATCATTTGATGAGGCTGCTCAAGTGTCATCTGCTGCATCAAGCATTCAGAGTTCCATGCAGCATCACAGGCCTTCAGCAGATAGTGTAGCACATGTGAGTCACTCACAGGCCAGTAACTCCTGAATTTTTATTGCTTAAATGGAAAGTGTTTAGTGCCATTCACTTTCCTTGAATGTATGATCAGAAAAGTTCTCGTACTTGCAAGTTTTATTCTCTTGACTGAATGAACTGTTGAGTTTTCATGAGTTTTCATGACATTGTTTCTTCTGAATATGTTTATTGGGTTATATTATATCATAGTTTATCTGATAACATTTGTTTTTGTGCAGGAAGATGAGGGCACTGCCAATTCTGAGCCAAAAAACAGCAATTCCATCCAGCAAGACTTCTCGAGTGACGATATTCTGGTGAGTTTCCATCAATGTTGCTATAATTATATTCACTTTAATAGATACTGGTAACTATTAGCATTATGAAATATCACTCCTCCAGTTTATAATTTTACTGGACTTGGAGATCCTATTATTAAATATTTTATTTAATCATTGCAACATTTTAGTGTTCAAGAAACTTCTTGATAGTTTCTTGGAAAAAGAAACAAAGCTATTGATATCATCCAACAAAGATGCTAGAAAAAAAAATTTTCTTGGCATTCCATAATCTTTTGTTGTGTTTCATGTGTATTCTAGGCAATATATGAATAGTTTAAAACTTTTTTTCCTATTCAACAAAACCCAAAGCAGCGATTGGTCATTTGGAAAAAGAAAGTTGATTCAAATATTAAAACTGTTTATATAATTGTTTATTAATCTTCTTTACACTAGTATTGGATATGTGCACAATATTCAAGTAACTAAATTACATAAGAGTTCAGTATTTTTACTATTTTATTTGCCGAGTTTAATGGGTAAAGTAGAGTTGCATGAATATATTCTTTTGTCTTCCTGGGGGTTTTCTTTCTAAATAAGAACTGTTTGCTAGATTTTCATGATGGCAACTATGTTATGAATTTCCTCTTGGCTGTATCAACTCTGGGTTTTTAACTATGTTTTGTATTTCGTCTTAGCTGTAGCAACCCTGGGCGTTTTAGTATCTAAAAATACCTGTTTATTTGTTTAGGTTAAAGATTTCTCTTTCAGAATGTTTATATTTTTTCTATTGATGATCTGGTCTAATGCAAGTAAATGTGAGCTAACAATGCAAATGAGCTTATCAGTTTGCTGAATTTTCTTCCAGTTTTCTAGCTCTTGCCCAATTCTTGTAAATTTATTATTGTTGAAAAATTTGCTAATAGTTATATTCATTTAGCTAATTTTATTCTGTTGAATTGCTCTATGATGAATTGAATTGTGATGAAATTGATGATGAATTGGTGAATGACGAAATTGCTCTATGATGAATTGCTCTCCATAATGCCTACTATGTGTATTATTTATGACTTACAAATCAACTCGGTGTTTGTTTTGCATAATATTTTTGTACTTTTCATTTTGATGCTTATGTTATCAGAACGAGAATATGTTCATAGTTGAATTTATACTTTTAAGCGTGAACCAATTCAAAAAATAGCTTTCAAAGGAAGCAACTGTACTTTATTTGAACTGTGGAACCAGTTATTGGTAAATGTGAATTTCTGAGTAAAAATTTGACATTGCTGGTATAAGCCTTAAGATTAACAAGGAGTTTTAAATTGGAGGAACACTGAAGGAAACGGTTACAAGAATTTTTATATATTAGAAAGTTTGTACTTTTAAGAGTGCAAAAAAAATGTTTTCATATCGTCCTTAACGTTCCACTGATGCCTCACGTGTCATTTGATGTCCGCAACTTGGCGACATGTCTCAAATTTTGTCTGCAACTTTGTTTGATGTCGGAAGGTCGTACAATTTAGTACGGTGTGAACTCAGGTCCAGTTTTGTTGACTGAGGCTGCTAGACGCTTGTGTTTATCAGGCAGTCACAAAACAGTGCTAGCTGCTCACTCTGTTGCTTAAGTTAACTCGGCCTTTGTTAACCAAACTGGACCTGATGTTTCAGACGAGACTTGGTGGTGGGGATGTTGGTGGTGGTGCTGGTGCGATCAACGTCCATTCCTACATCCTTGATGCTAATGAATACTACGACAAGGATAACGACCACGAAGACGTTGTCTGCACCTCAAGCCCCGCTGTAGTGTCCATGAGTCCTCGCAGCTGCTCTACTCCCGACGATGGGTGTAAAGCGTCACGTCTCGGCGGTGGGGTAGGTGATACCTCATCGTCGTCTGACGTGTTGCACTCGGCACTCAAAGATGCGACTGATGCTACGTGTGCATCGTCACGGCTGCGTGACGAAGACTCAAGCAACGCAGCACTGAGAGCAAGCGCGTTCTCCAGTGATGATTTTTCCTCAATGTCGCGAGATCTTGACCTGGTAGTGAACTCCCTCAGAGACCAGCAGCAACTTAGTCTCGGTTACTACCAGTTAACTGGAAACGGAACTTCGGGCTCCTGTTTACTACCGCCTGTCTCTTCGCCCTCTTCTCGCAATAACAGGAACAACAGTAGCGGAGGATGCAGTAGTGCTTCAACACCATCATCATTCCTTCAAAGTTTACAAGGATCCTCATCATCATCGTCTTATGTTGCTAGGTCGTATCTCTGCCAGACATGCGGACGCCGTTTTAACCAGAAGCATCACCTACGTCATCACACGTACACGCACACGGGCGAGCGACCGTATGCCTGTCCTCACTGCGAGCAGACCTTCACGCAGACCAGCAGCAGGAACAAGCATATCAAGACCATGCACCCTGATGTTGGCTTCACGAGCCTATCGATGGTCGCCCCTCGATATGACGTCACCTAGGATACCAGCTACTCAGCCCTCGGCATCAGTTTATTTACACCGATACTGGCCAGTTGTTGATATGTATACACATTGGTGGTTCAAAGTTATTAGCGCACCATTCAATATATTGTACCATTTGTTATTCGCCAAACAACTTGGGTTTTTTAATACGAGTTAGGAGTACCTATACCTATTCTGCACCCCCAAATTCAAATCGACTTGCACTGTTGGTTTCAACCCTGAAGTGCAAGTTTAGTGAAGGTGATGTGTAATATATTTTCCATTTTTAGCTGCTCTTCTGTTAGAAATGTTATCGATCTATTCTGAGATTTTGAGCTAATTTTTTGTTATTACTTGATTCTAAAAATGCTCGTCTATTCACCTTTTCTGTAGACGCACTTATTCCGTATCCACCACATCTGCTAGTGATATCTATTTAGTGAATTTTGAATCCATACATACAGACTATGCTGAAATAATTGTGAATGTGATTTGATTAAACACTTCTGAACGAGTGCAGGTTATCTAAAAGGACAAGTTATCAGTTTTCATATTATCTGACGCCTTCACAGTTCAAGTATTGCATTTCTTTAACACAAATTTTATTTACTAATATTACATTCGCTTCGTTGCAAGTGAAATATATACTTGTCCTGACGTGAGAGGCTGCAAGTATAAGCATCACAAATTCTTTGAAAACTTATAATTCTTTTACTTCATTTCGCCTCAGACTTATTTTTTTGCAAATCAGTGTGCAAATTAAGTTTTTAATGCCCTTATGTTACAATTTTTACTTTGATTTGCACTGTAAACGCATGAGTTGCTGTCGGGAAGTATTTACGGGTATCAATGGTGTAATTTAAACACCTAATGAAGTATGTTATAAGCGCAATTTACTTCGATGAAGAACATAAACAGGTTATTTTCTTCCATTTCATTAGAAGTGTCTTCTCACGCACCGTCTCGATCTCGATTTGTTCAAAAAGTCGCAGCCGCATCTATATTTTCACCCCTTGTGCTCAAGTGAAATTATGAAGCTAATTGAAGAATCTTGCTGGCATATCTCCATGATCACTTAAGTTTCGCTAGAGTGTATCTTATTATGTATGATCCATGATCATGTTTAGCATGATGAACGGGAATGGTCGTGTGTGGAGCTTTACCAAGAGTTTGCTGCTTAACTCTTCCGAATGAGAAACGGTCATCTTTGTTTAATGTCTTTGAGAAGTTCAATTTCCGTCCATGTTTACGTATGAAAATCAATTTGTGCTAGCACTTCCTCATTTGAATATTCGTTGCTTATGATGGTATATTGATTTCTAAATTTAATTTTTACTATCGATATTGAGATAAATTTAATGTATAGCATAATTTTTCTTGATGTGTTTGCGCGTGTGGACGTGGGCTCTGCCAGTCTCGAGCATGTATAAGCTCATAATTGTTAGCATATTCTTCAGGTTATGTTGAAGTTATTTCGTGCTACGGACTTTGTAGTTATACAAACTCGTTGTAACTTTCAATGCCGACCCCCCCGTGCCATCTCGCCCTTGTCGTGGGGGGGGGGCTTGCGTGTCTCGATGAGACCCGAGGCTGTGCGGTCTCAGATGCAATCATGGCCGAGTGGCTCGGGTGGAGAGTCCAGACTAACAGAGATGGCAAAACGCCCTTCTGGTAACGACCTGGCTCTCTTACGGATACGCAAAGACCTTTCNTATGTTCTTAGCCCATAATGCCCAACGTGACATTCGGCGCGAGATAGCTTAGCAGCTGAAGCGCTAGTAATCATAGGGCCACTAAACTAAACTAAACTAACTTTCAATGCCGAACATTATAATCAATAGATGATAATGCTGATGAAATTAGACCACCGTGACAGTGTATTTAAGCTCAAAAAATCAAGTCGTGAATTATTTGAATCTGTTGATGTATGCGCTATAATTGTAAGTGCGGTAATACATGTTCGGTTTTGCTTTAATTATTGATGGTGTAATTTGCTTGTGCCAAATTCGTTTTATCAATATTTGAGAACACCCGCATAAATAGTATGATGGTTGATCGTTGCATAACAACTAAGAATTCTTGCAGATATTAGAGCTCAATTTTTTATGAATCTTCATTGATACAATCAATGGTACAATGCCGCTATCTTGCGTAGACGGTACGGTTCGATATGAATTGACGATTTGTTTCGTGAAACTTGGCAGCTAGAAGATCGCTCGTAATGATACTTTATTAAAGTTATAAACAAAATTTGCGTTCTCAGGGTTCAGTTATACAGTGCACTTTACCACAGAGCGCGGGGCTCTGACTGCTGGGCTGAGTTGTAGGATCAAGTAGTTATGTAGGCAGGATTGCTTAACACTTCTCATCTCTTGTCTCTCTCGCGCGGGCGTCCGATGTCTCTTGTATGAAAGTCTTCGTTTCTGTAGTTGACTAGCTGTTCACCTTTTCGTTGTTCGTCTCTTAAGAGATGCTAGCTTATGCAAGTTGGTCATCTGAGATCTACTTTCCTTGTAGGTAATGAATGATTTTTGGTTGAAAAATATCGTAATGATCGAAATATTTCAACTTGTTGAGAGATATTTAGTTTACGGTACTCCTGGCGCGAGTCTTTATAGCCGTGCGACGGCAAACCTAAACTTTCTCTTAACGACTTGAGGGTAAATCCTTTTTATTATAACTCAGGTCCTGAGATCCTCCATGTACATAATCACGTGTATGTAGACTCTTAGATTACATTGTAGTCCGTGCCGCCTGATTCAAGGGAGTGACGCGTTCTTGTACAGAAACATTCCAGTTAGCGAAGAAAATGAATATCTGATCGTTCTCATTCGTGACTTAGGCGTCTACATGAACCCCTCGACTGCCAACGCAGAGAAAAGTCAGCGTCGTGGATTTTATTTACGGATGACCGTTATACTATTGTGCGAGTTTGGTTTTGTATTTGTTTTTTTGTATAGTATGAAGCAATGGTAGTGCTTATTCTCTTATTATTGTTGTTATTTTTATAAATGAGGGCTTCATAGAAAAAATAAGACGAAAAAACACTTGGTCGTGCAAAGCATATATTTCGTTACATAATTTTACTCACTCAGACGCAAATGATTCTCCACACGGCTGGGATTGGTTACTTGTCTTTCTCCGAGTTTATATACGAAGATGTGAATGTATTGCTTTATCGAGTGTTTTATTATAATTACAATCAGGCAGATGATTATTTTAGTAGAGAATCGAAAGTTATTCTTTGGCAGCCGCTTGAGGAGTAAACACTTATTATCGCTTCACTTTTTGAGGAAACCATTATATTTGAAAAATAAGTTTTCAAAAGCAAGGTAATGGTAAGAGTTTTGCTTGTTCTGAAACTAATCCCTTACCAAACATTATAGCTCATTTTTCATGTATCAACTACATCAAACCATGTATATAATTAGACTCGTGCATTCATGTATCATATACGAATCAAGGTAATGAGCCGTAAACAAGTATCATATAGTAAAAAATTAATCATCTTTTAAGTTTTGTCTCTCGTTTAACTGTATTGCCGATCTCTGGGCGAGAATCTTGTTGTTGTTGATGATTCGGTTAGTTTTCACATCCAGAATTCCAATATGTTATTAGAATTTGATCTAGTTTTGGAATAAAGATCTTGAGATCTGCGGTCGGTAGACAGAGTACATATTTTTTACATGTGTTTAACTTCGTAGTCGCATCTTGTAAGACTTTGTAGTTACTCATCCATAATTCACTAGACATCCGATAGCAACAATATTTTGATGAAGTTATCACGAGCTGTCCGTGGTATGCATACCATAAGCGCTCCGTTGAGAATAAAAGATTAAAATTATTATGATAAATAATTGGCTGCAAATCATGCATATCGAAGATTTGATTGGAGGCTTTAAAATACGCTATACACTGCCCATAGGGTGAGCGGTTTGTGTGAACTCTGTGCGCGGCGCTCGTGTCGAGCATATGGAGCTCATGTCGAGCATATGGAGCTCTTGGCGCGGCGCTCGTGTCGAGCATATGGAGCTCTTGGCGAGGCGCTCATGTCGAGCATATGGAGCTCTTGGCGAGGCGCTCATGTCGAGCATATGGAGCTCATGTCGAGCATATGGAGCTCATGGCGAGGCGCTCATGTCGAGCATATGGAGCTCATGTCGAGCATATGGAGCTCATGTCGAGCATATGGAGCTCGTGTCGAGCATATGGAGCTCATGTCGAGCATATGGAGCTCTTGGCGCGGCGTATATTGAAATCACTTGCAGGTCATGCGTAGCTCAATAAATCGTTATTAGTTCACACTTTACGGCTGCATTAGATGCCTCGGCAATACTACCATATTCGCATCATCATTTGGATTGATTGTGAGTGGTAAATGTTCCTTAATTATTATGAACTTTGTCTCCCTGAAATAATATATTTCTGTTCATTAGAACTGAACAGAAATATTATATTTCAGAACAGAAATAATATATTTCTGTTCTGTTCTGTTCATTCAATCTATCCCACCTTCTGCTGTGTAATCCGTATCTACCAAATATTTAACTCCCATTTTTTTCTAACCTTAGGGCATGAGAAACTTCGATTCCTATATCATTTTAGCCAAAGATTACGTTGAACATTTTCAGCTTGCTTACCAAGTTTAATTGAAAGAGCTGATTCATATTTGTTTCATTTCAACAACTGAGTTCAAATTTTGTGCATGACTTGAATCTATTTTCGTTTTTGATCTCTTCAGTGCATGGTGTATGAAGCGTGCCAAACATAGAGGATGAATCGGTGCAATACTAAGTGTAAATTGTAATTGTTGAAGAATATCAGTATGTGAATGAATCGTGCGGTTTTTTATTTTGATAACTTAATTGATGGTCAAATAAATTTCTGAGTCTCATTGGCTTTTGTGACTAGACCTAAAACCCTGGAGTGGTGTACGGTTCATCTTTATCTTAGAATAGCGGAGAGTCGGTGGCGTTTTTGTGATGCTTCCCTCGAGTTCGATTTCATGACGCCCAATTCTTATAGATTGCATTGCGTTCAAGTTGGATCTTGCAATCTGAACCATTTTTGTGTGACGGCGACTACAAACATCGTCTAGCTTCTGCTAGTTTCAATCACTCGCGACTGGGGAAATTAACCAGCACTGTTGCCTACTCTGTTCGATATTGTTATAAAAGCAAATGGTCATGGATACACTGACGTACTGTAGAGGAAGGGTTGAAACCTTATCTGTCACTTCGGTGTTAGCTTCAAGTACATTCCAACTGACTGCATATTAATGCTTCTATTGCTTTACCAATAAGTCTTTTCTTTAGCGCAGTTTCTATTCAATGCTCAATAAGCGAGAGATGTTGGTCCTGAGTTCACCGATGATATAAATATTTGAGTGCTGTGTAGGTGTCGCTGGTAACGTTGGTGTGTGTTTGTCTCAGGAAACGCTCCCCTCGGAAACTGACTCCACCGCTCCTGGACCTCCCCCGTGTCTCGGCACACAGCCTAGCTCTCCAGCGACGTCGTGGCATTGCAACTGGCAAAAAGAGAAGAACTCGGGCGATAAAACCCGTGGTTTTGTAAACGACGAGGGATTCAAACAGCCAATGAACGCTAACGATGATTTCCCAGAAGTTATTGACTCGTCCGTACCTGCGGAAAGTTCGAGTGGTTCGTTGTCTTGGCTCGAACAAAGCGTGAGTTGCCGTAAAGAAACAAACTACGTAGCGAGTTTGAATCAGCTCCTCAGCTCTACGAATCTTCAATATCATGGGCCCAATGACAATAACTCTTTTAAGGCCCGTGCTCACGATGACCGTCTCACGTCATCGTCTTCCAGGAATAGGAATTCCGCCTCTTCAAGCTGCTCGTATTTATCGGACGGTATTTCAACTTCATCGACGTCGTTTTTTGAGAAGCTTCCATCGTCGCAGCAGGGCTGTCTAGAAGATTTTGATGTTTCGTACGACGTAGGATCTTACGTTTGTACGATATGCAGTAAATCTTTCGTCCAGCGATGTCTCCTCAAGCGCCACATGAAGATCCACGATGTCAGCGAGAAGTGTAAGTGTCATTTCTGTCCTTTTGAGACCACCTTCAAGTTCAACCTCAAGTCCCACATGGCACGCAAACATCAACATTTTTGCGATTCTTCGTGTCAGTTAAGCACCATCGGATAATACTCGTATCGTGTCAGTTAAACATCACCAGATAGTATCGAGTAAGTTAGACTTGAACAGATGATAGCGTGTTAGTTAGACTCCACCTAAGTACTCCAACAATATGCGGTGTACCTAATGTTATAAATAGATCATCGCTCGCAACAAGCATCTGCTGTATAATGACCACAAAGACGTAGTCTGCTCATCGTGTTCTGCCATTGTCTCCAGTTGTCGTCGCAGCTGCTCTACTTCCGACGGTGAGCTTGGAGTGTCACCTCTCAAAGGCGATGGAGGCCGCTCGTATTCTAAATCCTGCCAGTATATCATAAGATATTCTTCGTATTTAGTTCAGGGAGCTAATAACCGATCCTGTTAATTGTCTTCAATCGGGAGATCTGCAATGTTCTGTAAACTTCTTGCAGCATAATGTACTTATTATGTCTTGTTTTTAAATGTGTTAATGGTTTTTTTCCACTACGGACCTCGTTGTCATCTGTGAAAAAATTAGGGAGTCTGATGAATGATCCACTCAATCGTGATGGTGGAAGATATACTCAGTATGCTTGTTGATAGATGATCATGTGCAACAAGCTTGCCATGCCAATATTAGATCTGTTTCTTGCGTCCGACGGCGTTTTGTGTTGTAAGTTAATGGGTTTTCTTGCACATTGTCTGCTATTAACGTTTCACTATAAGTTGATATTAAAAAAACGTCCATCGTATGCTCTAATGATTATTTTTGTTAAAATAATGTTTAAGTTCAATTATATTGCCAGCAAAATCATCAGAGGCTTAGTTAAACACAACCCACTGTGTGTCTCAGTTCTGGGTTACAGTTCTAATGTAGGCAGGATTCTTGCTCTTCTCTTGTCGATCACCGTGAAAAAAATAGTATAGTAAAAGTATCACCGTGAGTGAATAGTATACAAATATTAAGGAGCAGTTGAAGAATTAAAGACAGTTCTCTATTGCTGTTTACATGCTCTGTTGAATTATCTAGCGCTGTCTTCTCTTATTTTGCGCAAAAATGTTGAATATTTATGATACTGCTGTATTATTATTTGTAGGAGCATTTCAAACATTCATTTTGTAGTGCAATCTGTGCCGCTTTAGTGCAATTACGCATCGTGTGTCATCGCACGACGAGAAGCCGAGTAATATTTTGAATTGTATCGTGCAATACATACCTAGCTGTCTCATCGCGGCGTCAGTACCGCATTCTAATTTCGAGAAGCACAGTTTTCGAGCCGGACTCTTTCAATGCTTTACATTTCCTTGACATCTAGGTTGTGCTGGAGACGTTTAAACTGCTATTTATTTATCATACTTGTTGCTAATAAGGTGCATATGCGTATGACCACTCAGTCTATACATCGTCAGTATTATGCTTGTTCTTTGAAATAGGAATTATTCATTTTCTAATCTGTCGATAGTTTTTCTTGATGCTGTATATGTAGAATAAAAATAATAGCTTTTTTGATGTGCAAGAGTTTGGTCTATAAATAATACTCTATGTCAATATTTATCTTTGTTTCTACAAAAATTGCAATCAAATAGCCTAATCGTCCGTTGTTGATAGTAAATGCCAAAAATATGTTTGACTCCCCATGACATGGGTCTGAACTTCACCGTTTGTTCTCGGTTCTAACTAAAAAAATAAATTTGAAATTCGTCTAATTAAAGAATATACTGTAAAAGGATTGGCGTTTTTCATTCTCTGTACAGTGCGTTTACTGTATTTTTTTCAAGTCTTATGTAGTAGTTAGGGGCATCAGTTTTGGAACAGTGATTTGCTAGTTCGAGCCTCAGCTAGCTGCTGTGAAATTTCTGTGCCTTCTGGTATCGATTAAAGGTCAGACTTGGCGCAATCTTCAACCCTGAAACTATTTTATTATGCTATTCTTATGTCTCTACAGTTTCATTTTATTCAAAAATTTTAATGTTTATGAAAGAGTCTATAGAAGAAAATGCAGTGAAAGGGTTTTCTTCCCACAGACCGGAGGAAGCCCTGGAGGATGGCTGAACGAAAGTGGCTACCGCTGCGTAGGTTCTGCCAACGTTGCTGTAAATGTTTTCAATGAGCAATGTCCGACGTCTACTCCGCTTGTCGACGACCTCTCACTTTTTGCCGAGCATCGCTCTGAATTGAATGATAATCCTTACAATAGAGATATTGATGTGGGCGAGACAATTTATGAAGGAATTGGAATAGGATTTGAAGCAGCGCCGACTGCCCCAGTGTATCGCTGTACTCAGTGTAATTATGAAAGCAACAGAAGGAATTGCTTAAAAATTCATATGCGTAAGCACACCGGCGAAAAACCTTACAGCTGCCCCAAGTGTTCACACAGGACATCTGACCGCAGTAATTTGAGAAGGCATCTTATAAGCAAACATTATCTTGACAGCAATTCTGCTAGGAAAGCATTACCAAGTCGCCTCAGTAACCGTTAGATTTATTACGCGTTTGTCCCCAGGTCACTTACATGTAAATTCTTTGTGTAATTGGAGTTGATTGTCTGCCCTTATTTCGGTATTAAAGCTGAAAAATAATTCTTGTCTCTCTATTTCCTTTATATGTCTAATCTACCGAAATTAGATATTGTAATGTAAAATTTCAAGCTTGTCTTAAATATCAAGCAAATCTAGTCATCAATGATCAATAATCTCGGAAAAAAATACCATTCTGATAGTAATACGAAGGCAATGTCCGTAGATCGCGAAGCACTTTATTAATGGATTTTTACGTACTTAATATGTTCCGCTTAGGCTCACATTACGGATTACGTTCTTATGTCGATTGCTTTCTGTCTAGTTCTTTCTGTCTAGTAAAGTCTGCTGCAGATGCCGACCGCAGCCGCTGCGCTGAGTGAAATTGGAACTTGTCAAAAATGTCGAGTATAAGTGCAATGGTAACGAAAATTTGTGATCCTTGTAGTTATTCTGTTAATTTAAGTCGGAAAATATTGACAAAAAGACTCTTTAAATTTAAGTCACATTCGCCTTCAAATATTAACTTGCAAAATATTTACAAAGTTAAAATTCGCGCATTGCACACTACCGCAACCGGTAATGGTTCCCGTTCATCTAACCCTAACACGACTATGAAAACTTCTATAGCTGGGAAAATATTTAGGAGTGTAATTTATCTAACAAGTGGAATTTCGGTTGCATGTGGAACTTATTATGCAACCAGTGACAACATTGGGAAAAGAAAATTACGTGTTGCTGCTGAAGGAGGATTGAGATTTGTAAGGCAAGTTAATTGAAATTTATTAAATTTTACTGTGATTGTAAAATTGCAATTTAAGTCAATAGAATATTGATATAGTAGGTAACTATTTTAGTACCAAGACTACCCACCGTCTGGGCGTCTGCCGTCAGGCATCAACTGGGGTGATTTTGGTCCTTCGGCCAATGACACGCCCAACGTTTAGGTATGATGTTATTTTGCGGCCATTTGTTTCTGTTGCAGACTTGCAGTTGTGTTAGCCAAAAAAATTTAGGATAGTCTACTCTTTCACCTACAGAGGTGTCAGATTTAGTAATTTAGTATCCTACATTATTCTGCTATGACTATGAGTGCTATCAGACTGGGGCTGCCCATTAGACAGTATGCCAGTGATAGGTAGGCAGTGAGACTGAGTGAGTGAGCCAGACTAGTTTGGATCTGCATTTTTTGGTTAAAAATTACCTACCTTGAAAAACAGGATTAGACTTTACATAAGTTCAAGGGTTGCAACTCACTTGCACCTCTATCAAGCATCATTGGTTTTTTTAATTTTTAAGAATGCTCCAGATCCCATGGGGACTAGATTTTTCAAACTTTCATGTCCAGATGCCATTGAAATCAACAGAAAGCTGCCTTAATGACACATTTGATTCACAACTGTGAGTCCTTATCTTTGTGTTTCACTTTTTATAATACACAGTGGTATTGATTATCATTTTTTAAAACACCCTATGTGGCTGATGTCACCCCGCTAATGGTTGAATTCGGCCACTAAATCATTTTTTACTACATTTTTACAATGTTATAACACATGTGGGAATGTGGGATGTGGCCAAAGTCACCCCATCATGGGGTGACATCATCCACCCAGCCCAGCTAATTTAAAAAAATTTATTAAATAATAAAAGTAACATAATTTAGATATGACATATTTAAAGAAGAACATTTCAGTAATATATTTACAAATTTACAGTCACCAGCAATGCCTCATTCCTATTTTGTAGGAATTTGATTGGCAGAAACTAGTGTAATTTGGCAGAAGTCACCCCAGTTGACAGTAAATAAGTAAAATAACTAGAATCAATGAGAAAACATTGACTGGCAAGGGCCACCCCACCTAAAATGAAAAATTGGGCAGAAGCCACCAATGAATTGGACAAAAAGGACTCTAAATCTGGGGCTGGAGGCAATTACCCCCATTTTTATGGTTTTTCCCCAATTTAATCAATAAACAAGATGAACAGATATTTTAACATGCAATTTTTTAGTATCAACCATCACACATGAAAATGATTATGTAATAATCCTTTTAACCTGCAATTTTGGGAAACTTCTTCCCAATATTCTAACTTGGTTCAGCACTGGCATAGAAATTATGTATTAAAACTGGAGAGATTAGAGATAGTCTGATGCTGACAGGACACCTTCATTGGGGCTTGGGCTGTGATGTCTTGGCAAACTTGGCATGGGTGGCTCTCAATGTTCCAAATCACACATTTTGGTAAATTTTTAATTTTGGCATTTTTTATTTCATTGATTATATTAACAAAATTTTATTAACAACATGAAGTTTTATTTCTAATTAGATATGCAATCACATTTCCAAGTTGGAATTTTGTGGCTTCAGATAGAGAGAGAGCATAAAGCTCAAGTTTTTGGCTTGGAAAGTAGAAATTTTTTATATGTGGCAATAAGTAATTCCCAAACTTAGCTAGAATGAAGTATGTACATTCTATATAAACTACAAGTAAGGATAAAAGAATCCAAGAACGTATAATTTTAGTAAATTTGTAGTGTTTTAGACTTGCAGCATATATATATGCCATTTCTTGAAATTTTTAAATTCTGCTTATAGTGCCACAATTAAATTCCTAATTCCCAAACTTTTTCCTTGACATTTTTGTGGTCATATAGTTATGATTTTCATTTCCAAACATAGTGGCTTTAACTACCAACTTGATCATCAATGCCAACTAAAGCAACAACTGTAGCCTCATCACTGAAGTTGCCAGCCTCCAGTAGAAATGATCAATTTCACAAGCAGAACTGAACCACATCTTTCTAGCTGATCTGATCAGAACAGTTTTGTGGTCATTATATATGTGGTTATTGAACCCTACAAATAATGGTTCTGACAAGTACTACCTATGTGTTTTTAGTGTCAACTTACAAGTGGCAAGACAAGTGCACTAGGTATCTGCTGAGTGGCTATGTGTCATTGATGGTAGTAAGAATGTCAGTCTTTCCAGACATTGAAAATAATTTTATTTTCAAGTCATTTCCACAAGAAAAGTGGTAGAATTTTATGTTAAAAATAAATTGTAGACAATACTTTTTTAAACCATTTTCATTGCTTTTGTATTCAAATGAGTACCATCTCCACATCTGGATGAGAGGCTGATAAAATTTTATACTTTCAGATCAGTACGCATTGGGCTGACGATATCTTTGGACTATTGGTGGCAGACTTATGGAGAGGATGACACTTCTGATGAATATCTTGAGAGATTAGATGCCTGTCACCAGAGAGCAGCTGAAAGAATACTAGATGCATGTCTCAAGGTAAGGAATTCTAAAATAATTTTTGCAATCGTTTTTTGCTTCAGACACTTAGTATATTAAATTTATATTGTAAAAGATAATAGTAAATTTAATGCCTTAACTGATCATTATTTTTACTTGCATTAAAGTTAGTTCAAAATATTTATAGATACAAGCATGATTGCTGATTACTGGTATGCTGCATAGATATGGTATGTATATTCAATAAACAGATATACCGTATGTAGTTGCAGAACAGTTGAAAATATCATACATGCTCCAAATCAATTAAATATCTATCTCTGTGGTATTATGAAAGAAAATTTGTTTAATCTTTCTAAACCCTCCAGCAAAGAAAGGATTCTTTTCATGGACCTGCTTGCTGAAAAAACTGCTAGAAATTTGATTGAAGTTTAAGGCTACCTACCAATGTTTCTATTATTTTATGGTTCTGATTTGAAATTGCGATTGTTATTTTATGATATAATTGTTAAATTTAATAGCTGTTACCCTGGACAATGATGTCATTTCAAATTCTGAATCTGTTATAATATTCATTTTACATTTTTTTTATATTCCTATTACCAGAATGGAGGGTTGTACATAAAGTTGGGGCAGGGGCTTGTCTCAATGAATCACATACTTCCAAAGCAGTACCTCGATACTCTGAAGGTATGCTCATTTTCATATTAAGTAATTTTGCACACACAATAATTGTAGTCCTTTAGCATGAATTACATGTATTGTGAATATTATTGGGTCAGGACTTGCTGGCAATTTGGCACACAATTCACAATTACTCCAATGTTCGTTGCATGTTTAAAACCTTTTGGTGTATGGAGGTGAGATTTTGCCCCTACACTTAGAACCTTAGAAGTGCAATTGTTATGTCAATTTTATATATACAGGTTCTTCAAGACCAGTGTCTGACACGCCGCAGTGCATCTGAAGTTCAGGAGTTGTTTATGGAAGATTTTGGTGTACCTCACACCGATCTCTTTGATGAGTGGCAAGAAGAACCGATTGCTGCTGCCAGCCTTGCTCAAGTAATCATGCAATACCATAGAGATTTGATGATTCTATTCATGGTCCTAATTTATAATTTCCTCAGCTCTCTCTATTGAATAATATCAATTTATTGATTTTTGCTGATGGCACAGTCTTTGATTTAAATCATGTTCTAAACTATCTTGAAAGGAACTAGTTTGCTTTAAATCTCAATATTAGCATTTCTGTGCAGGTATTTGTTGCCAAAACAAAGCAAGGTGAAGAGGTAGCGGTTAAGGTGCAGTATATTGACCTCCAAGATCGTTTCAGTGGTGACGTGGCTACCATAGAACTTCTACTTGATGTCATTCAGTGGATGCATCCCAAGTTTGCTTTCAAGTGGGTCTTTAAGGTGAGAATTATCATTATGAAGTTGGAAATTATTTGTGTAGAAGTGTGTACTTTTGTAACAACAGACTTGACACCCCGAGACCACTTTTTATTTGTGTAATGTATGAAAGGCGTTCCTAAGATTTTTTGTAGAATTCTTGCTCTCCACTAAGTACAAATTATGTTATTAATTAAAATTTATTTACCTACTGAACTGTTTTGTGTGTCATGTGCTAATGATAAAAAACAATTATTGAATAGATTTACCGCTAATCTTTCATTATGATAGTTAATAGTTGAGCCTTTTTTTGAATTGGTTTCTTTATATAATAATACATAATGTGCTCATATTGCCATTACATTAAAGATTTTTCTTGCCTCTGTAATTTCGTTTGGCATTCTACCTGTGCAACATTCAATTAATGTGATCGGTCTAAAGACCGTAGAAGTCAGACAGATCAACATTTGTGAGGTTGTGGGCACATTTGGGGTTGCGGGTGCAGCTAATCGTGAGTGGTAGCTTGAACCTCAATAAAGTTACGTTATTATGTCAACATTAAATGTGCTTGGGTTTAGGTTATTAGGTTCTTTTTTAGAAGGTAATCCGTCACCGTAATAGTCTCAATTTGTGCCACTTGTTTATAAGTAATCCCACTTCTGAGTCCTACGGCCTTGAAAGAAACCTAAAATTCAACACCTTGAGAGACAACACCAGGCAAATTCATATTATTAGCTTGGACAAAGCAGTCGAAATTCAAGTCATAGCAACTTTCATTCAGTAAAAATCAAAGCCCTACACTTGCCTATCAATTTGCAGGACTTACGTCACACCTTGGAGCAGGAGCTGGACTTCCTTCACGAGGGCAGCAACTGTGAGAAGTGCATGCGCCAGCTGAGCCATCTGCCGTACGTGCGCGTTCCTCGCGTGCATTGGGACCTCTGCAGTAAAGTAAGCTCGCGGGGAAGTCGTTTCTAGAAATATTTGTGCATTCATTATTCATGTACATTTTTTGAACGTCAATAATTGACGCATCATGCAGAATTCGAACATTGTATTTCAGTTAGTCATTTTAATGAACATCGCGGTTTTCAAGTTAATTGTATTAGTATGATGAAATGGCAAGCTCAAAATTTGCCACGTATTTCCAAATTTATGAAATATTTAATTTACTGTGTTTTACTATAAAATTGTTGTGTAATGAATGACAAATCATTTTTAAACACTTATAAATAGGTTAAGAATATTGGAGTTTCAATCATTATTCGTCAGTTTGATGGGACTACTTTCAAGGATTTGAGGCGAGTTTAGATAGTGCCACACATGTGCTCTAAATAGCTGCAATACACCCGGCTATATCGTTGCATTTAAGCCCGCCCACCAAATTGTTTTTGTTGTTGTTGTTGTGGTTCCCCGGCCTCACTTTTACAAGAGACCCCTTCCAGCAAATTGAGGGGTCCAGTGCCCAGACTTGCATTGCTTCGAGGAATATCACTGAAGCTTTTTACCCGCACGCAGCGTGTCTTGACGGCAGAGTTCATCCGCGGGCACAAAGTGAGCGACGTGGAGGGCATGCTTGGTGACGGCCTCTCCCTTGCCGACGTCGACACGAAGCTCATTAATGCCTTCGCTGAACAGATCTTCCATACTGGATTTGTTCATGCTGATCCGCATCCTGGTAACAGTAAGTGATTTACTCACCATATTTTCATATATTTTGGACATGCAGCTCATCAATGTCTTCGCTGAACAGGTCTTCCATACTGGTTTTGTTCATGCTGATCCGCATCCCGGTAACAGTAAGTGACTTATTTTTTCGCTACGTTTCCATATCTTTGGTGCTACGCTCATTGAAAGAAAAGATTACAATAGTAAAGTTGAGGTGCTAGGTCAGGTATATGAGGAAGTCTCCTACAAACCATAGAGTGAGATTATATACACCAACCTCCATATGGATCTTAAAGCTGCCGTTAATTTGGTGTTGGTTACATAATTACATACCTAATGACGTCAATTTCGTGTTGTTGGTTACATTCCCGAAGGTTTTAGAGAAATTTAAAATTGTGGCATCACATTTTTTAAACATTTTCATTGTATTCGATCACAAAATGTCAAGCTTTTATAAAAATTTACTTTTGTTTGTCGATTGATTATAACAAATCGCATTGCTCATAGGCCAGTCTCAACTGAAAACCGTTCCAGATGACATTGATAAATTTGAAGAAGTACTACCCGAATGTTACCTGAGCATTAATTGAAATGATCTAGCTTGAGCGAGTCATTATAGATTTCTTTACCGTAAAAACATATCACGACACTGCAGTTAACTTTGGCTTGCAGGCGTGGTAACTCATTATAACATCACACCTGTGTGCAGTTTTGGTGCGTGCCAGCAGTCGTGTGGTGGGAGCAGAGATAGTGCTACTGGACCACGGTCTGTACCAGGACTTGCCCTCCACAGTACGACAGCCGCTGTGCCGCCTCTGGGAGAGCATCGTGCTGGGTGACCACGCCGCTATGAAGCGTTACTCGAGCCAGCTCGGCGTCACTGGTTAGCGTCTTTTTTCTCTGGTCGTGATATATTACTTGGCTGTTACTTAAAATGTTGGATTCATAAACGTTGTTGAATATTTCCTACGTTTTGAATTATATTTACCCTATAAATAAGCAAGTCGTAATTTGGAACTGGGCTAATCATAAAAACAAATATTGAATGAAGGAAAACATTTCGTTATAATGTATTGTGTCAATTATTTTTCGGGAATATTTTTTTTGTTTATTTTCAAGACTACGTACCGTCTATTTACTCTGAGTGCTGTCAGAACGGTAATTTAGCATTCTGTCAAAGAACGATTTGCCAGCCATCACAGACCTGAATTTTCCAAGTGCTTACTATCATCGTAATGTGCAGACGGTTACCGATTTTTCTGCATGTTTGTGGCACAGCGCTACATTGCTCCTGAAGGGTCAAGTCGTAGCGAAAACGAGTTTTTCTCCCAGACTGGGCCTAAACAATTCTCCAGAGCACAGTACAAGAAATTGTCTGCGGAAGACAAGGAGAAAATGCAGAAACGAATCGAAGAAGCTCGTGCTATGATTGAAACAGCCTTCCATAACTTACCCACCGAACTCTTCCTCGTTCTCAGGTAGGAATTAATATGAGTCTCTAGTTAAAATCTTTTGTTGGGTCTATAACTAATCAGTATTTATAACAGGGCTCCTTCATTTCCGCATTTTCTCCTTGAAACTCTCCGTTTAGTTTTTTGGCTGATATTGCATGAACATGTCTGCCTCTGCAAAATTATTCAAAATGAATAACAGTTGAATTAGTCTTGGTTCCAACTGAACTGGGCTATTCTAAATTTCCTATTCTAGTATGACCAGCATTATCATGGACACCTGGAAGCCTATTCATGTGATGTTTTTGGCACAGTCTATTATTGAGATGATGGTTGCACCGGAAACTTTTTATTGCAATCGGAACTTGGTGCCTTCTCTTATTCTATTTATTTTTTAATCTTAGTTTACCTGAAGCCGCATAATTTCATATTAAATAAATAGTGACAAACTTTCGAAATTTTCGTCGGTTCAAAATGCTTCCCAATAGTTGTTCATGTACGATTTTGCATTCATCAATCAAAGTTGGGAGCGCTAGTTTCTCAGTTTGTGTTATTTGCCTAAATAGACACCAGTGCTTCGCTGTAGAATCATTTCTCATGCACGTTCATGCTTACGTAAACATTTGACTACTCGACGATAGGTAGTTAGGTGTAAACTAGCTACACTAAGCGGGCTGGTGTGCACTAGCTACACTTAAGCGGGTTGGTGTGCACTAGCTACACTAAGCGGGTTGGTGTGTACTAGCTTTTGTGGGTTGGTGCGCACTAGCTACACTAAGCGCGTTGGTGCCGCGCAGACGAGTTGCTGTTCGCTGAGATGTTGCTGCAAAGGCCTGTGGTCGGCCTGGGCAGACTGGTAGACACGTTAACGACAGCCGACTCACAGTACATGATTGACATGGCCAAGGATCGTTTTGACAAGATCACCCTCACTCTCCAGCAACTTCCTAGAGAAATTCTACTTATCATTAGGTGAGTTGGCTCCATCAACAAAAGCACCTCATTTCATTTAATAGTCTTTCTTTTGCACTGTCTCCATGTTCTTGATTACTGCATTAACGACGGCCGTGTGGAAGAAAGTTGTGCGGCGGTCGGAAAGATTTGTGGTGGGACGATAGCTGTGGAAATTTTACGGAAAGAGCGTCAGGCAGCATGCTGGGATTTGTTACCGTGATTATATACCTATATTATGTGTATTAATTTTTGGCTTGTTTTGGAAACTTCGTCTGAATAAGTATATACTGATTCATTCCAAATTTAAAGGGTTTTGTTTCTGTAATTTATAATAGTTTCATAGATGTTCTACAATAAAAAGTTACTCATAGTTGGGTTCGTGGTAATCTATAACTTTGTCCATATTGCTATTCATTCTGAGTTGTAGTGGGTGCCTTTAGTTTCTTTGCTTTATTTTTTTCGTAGCTGCACTGTTTTTCCTTTGTGCAAGCTGCATCCTCTATTCTCAGCCGTGGTGTCTTTGCTTATGTTACCGTTACTATAAAGTCTATTCGTTTGACTGCACAGTAATGGATTTCAATACTAAAGGTAAGAATTGCAGAGCACTGTTTCTTATAGTTTCGCATCCAGTCCGAGGTGCTCTTCAAAGGATAATTTACCCTCTGATCACCTCAATAAATCGGTGGAAGAAAACTTTCAACCAGCCTAATATGTAAGTGAATCAGAATCCTTACAGTCGCCATTTTCGATGCTTGCTTTATGTGTACTTAAATTTTAAACATAGCGTCGATAATTTGCATTGTGAAAAACACGAGTTTTTTCCGGATATTTCCCTCAGACTTGTCGTTTATTTCAATTATAAAACCCCGCTTTGGAAAACCCGCTAGTATTTTTTTCTGATACGCACTCCCTCTGAAAAAATTAGTCAATGAAGACTGAAGATTTATAAAATTTCTATTATAAATTATTGTAAATATTAAAACAAAATTATTCTCGACGCTAAGTTGTTACTCAAACATAATCACTAGCAGATTTCTTTAATGCTGAAGCAGCATGTATATGTATAAGTATTTCTTAAGTTATGTAATGTATAAGTATCCCTTTGTTTGTCGACGTGATTGAGCTCATGATTGTACATTGTTCTAAAATTCTTCAGTTTACACACTCAAAGCTGATGTTTGTACCAGTATTCTTCTGTGCACAGGAACATCAACACGGTGCGAGCGGTGACGCGCGACCACGGTTCTCCTGTGGACAGATACTCCCTGATGGCGAGGGCGGCGACGCGCGGAGCTCTGTTGTCACCTGACGCGTCCTGGGCAACGCGCCTGAGAGCGCTGCTCAGGCAGGCGCGCTTCGATCTCGTCTTGAGGTGACGGGCTAATGCGTACAGTCTCTTGCTAATACATATGATCATCATCCTCGTATTGTGACAGTTTTTAGAAAAGGAATGGAACAATACGTTCATGATATTGAGACAATACAGTTGCCCCGTTAAATCAATCAAATTTATAACCGGTTCTACATTACGAAAGGATTAAAACTTTTGATTGCTGTTCTATCGAGAACAGTTTCTCTAATTGATGCTTGAAACGTTATACATTTCCAGGTACGAAATGGTGAAAATGTGGATTCTCCAGAAAATCCTACAGTTCACAGGCCTCTTGCCAGATCGTAGCTTGCTGACTTAGTGGTAATAACCTCTCTCCGTCACCCGACCATTTCCTGCAGCGATGGTACTTGACCAACTCAAAGCACTTCTTCTGTTCTTTACTGTGAATGACATTTTTTGCCATTTCACCACGCTGTCGATGATAGTGACTACGTTCGTATTTGATACGCTAATAAACTCTTCCTATGGTTAGTCTAAGGTGTTTAACAGACGGGAATTTTCACGTATCAAATACAGCTGTTAACTAAGTATAAGTAAAGGCATACATATGGTTTCTTGTTGCTTCTCTGTTGGTAATTTCTTTGCTAGGCGAGGTGACGTTTGGTGCTGAGTTCTGCAGCACCAAATCTACGAGGCAACTATCGACTGTTATTTTGTCCTCACGAATTTGTTTCCTTCTAATTTATGTTACCAACTTCAATTAAAATAATGAACGTTTTCTGATGATTGTTGCGACGAAAGATAAGCAACAATTCCTGATAAAATTATGCTCATTGATATTGTTTTCTAAAATGATGTAGAAAAAATAAATTTACGAATAAAAATGTCCGTTTGAAGCGATTAGTTTGTTACAAATGTTAATTTTTTGGTATATGGCAAAATAGGTATATGAATATATTATTGATCTAGAAAAGACTCGTTCTGTATCATGTCTGAGCCTTAGTTCAGACTAGTCACACCAAACAAATACGGTTTCACGTTCACAATCAATAAAATATGCTTTATGTTAATCATTGACCTAGGATAATTTGTAAAATAAATTCAAGCAATTCAAATGTAATAAAATAATTTATCTTATTAGAGTTTCATCTTACCTTATATCAGCTAGCGTTAATAAATGCTCGTAACACCCCATGAAAGAACTGCTAATTAGTCCTGAAGTTACAAGTGAAAATCCGGGATATAGATGCATATTGAACTACGAAGCAAGATGATAGATTATGCAAGAGCGCTACAGATTTTAGCACAGAAGAATACATTGACGTGATAATTTCAGCCCGCGTTTTATTCATGGAACACACAAGCAAATAATGTACTTCTTTGAATAAAATTTGCACAATTGAACGAATGTTTACCAAACGTGGGTATATTTCCTCATACAAAGATTTTATGCTAGACGATAAAATATCTCATGGTTCATATTTTAAACAAGCTCCAGATTAGTGAGAGTTAATAATTTTTCGCTGTTAATAGTTCCTCCCACTACCTACTTCTTCATATTCGTGGTATTTGTCTATAATGTAATTTGTTTTTCCATAATATAATTAAATTATACATTTTAAATTCTTAGAAATTTTTTAGCTAAATTTTGTTCGGTTTCTTTGGCTTTAAGCGACAATACTAACGACGATTTCGGGTAACCCCTAATAGACGTCATGTACCTAATAAAATGAGATTCATCGCTTAGTTTACAATATTGAATACAATTTGCTGATGCAGGAACACAAATTATCCTATGCAATTGCAAAAATAAGTACCAAAATCTTCCTTAACTGAGAGCTTTTAACTGAGAATGGAGAGAGAGATCATTTCGCCCATGATGAGCTGTACTTCAACAACCGGCTGCAAATGTAGAATAATTTAACTTTGTATTCATTAACATGAATTTCACGGCAATTTTGCTTTCAAAATATCGTAGCACCCCAGCCATTATGAATTACTGCTTCAATAAAATGGTGACGTCACAGTACCGTAATATATGCCACAATTTTTATGTCCTGTTTTGCCAATTGACGACGGGTAAATCGCGACGGCGGCCTCAAATGCAAACGACACATTTACATGAAAGTTGTGTTCAAGTTCATTTAAATCTTACGAAAGCTCACTGAAAATGAATGAACAAATTAGCAACCATTCACACATAGTTACGAGGTCATCATAACTCATCTTTGGGCAATGTTTTTCTAGACGCCACTTCCTCTTCCTGCTGTAGCCGCCATGTGAGATGGGACACGATAGCGTCGGGGTCCAAAGTGTTCAGCAGCTCACCTCTGGGGTTCTGGCGGGCATTTTGTGTCTTCAGGGCGCCTTTGTAGAACATCACAGTTGGGTACGCGCCGACGCCAGCGCCCTGGCACAGCCACTGGAACGCTTGGCAGTCAACTTTGCCCAGCTTCACCTTGCCTTCCAACCTCTAAAGAAAACATTTACAAGATATCATTCCGTGCAAGAAAATTACACCAATAACACTAGCGATTAATAATGATTAATTCAATCCTATCCTGATATCCTAATAGTTATAAAAATGCAGTAGAAAAGTTGAAATTTCCAGCAGATAAAATTAAAAAATTGCACAAATACAACGATAGTCTAGGTTTAATTTTAATTAGATCGTAGAACGGGCATCATAGCTTGTTGTCTCTTTCGAATATAATTTTTGTCAGACTCGTTCAGTTAAGAGACTAAGTCAAATAAGTCGTATCAATTTTAAAGATTTTGATAAAATTCAGCAGAAACTTTAATTTTTTAACAAAATTGTTGTAAATATTTGGAGAATTATCATTTATTTCACCTATTAAAAACCACTGTAGCTACTGATATTTCATTAAAAAACAAAATAAGTAAGTAACATATCACTTAGCGATGATCAAATTCAAATATTTTAAGAACTAAATCTTCACGCTATTCAAGATAAAACCACACCAATTATACAAGATTCTCTTTTGTAAGTTTGTCTTTGCTTGAAGACCGGACTATGCTATCGAGCCTTTGAAAGAGTCGTTTTCATCTTGTCTTCTTAGATCACTTTCAAACTTATTATTAGCTGTCAACATGCAACGTGCCCTGTAAATTTTATTCTACCTAACATCCCGAAAATCTTCAAAGAATAATAATAACAATACTACAAATGAAAAGTTCTCACCCTGGCCATGTCTTCAAACTCGGGTGCAAAGACATGGCAGTGACCGCACCACGGAGCAAAGAAGTCTACCAGCCAGGGCTCGGATGACCGCAGGATTTGCTCGAAGGTTCGGTCATTGAGCGCAGTGACCGAGGAGGGCAGGTGCGAGTACAGCCACCGCTTGAACGATGCCGCGTCACGCGCGTAGTCGTTATAAGTGCTGCACGAATAACAGTAAGCAATTAGTACTTCCTTATTACTTACTGATTAAATAATCGGTATTTTTTTAGTATTGCGAGGACTGTTATATAATTAAACGTACAATAAGTGCATGGAAAAAGTGCATGAGCATTGCGTAAATTTGGATACGTGCGCATTGACATTCAGCAGTCTCAAAGCTGATATAGCAGCTACTGTTTTATTTTACAATACGATCAAATTATCTGTTTTTTTTTCGAGCGTAACACTGAATTTTTTCATTTCGCAAACACCGAACAGTGGCGTTTATTACGGCTAACATATCAACATAAAAATTAAGTTTTGTGAAGCAAAAAATTACACTAAACGAAAGGTATTACATAGAAGCAGGTTAGCCCGGCGTTGCCCGAGCTCGATAATTCCTGCGATTGTTGAATACCGTACCCCAAATCCTGTCAATAAGAATAAAATGTATAGATGCTTTGAAAAAAGAGCTGTTTGAACTCTTATTTCACATGAAGCATGTAACTATACAATTTGACGGACGTTACAAAATGTGGAAAAAAAAATTTCAGCTCTCTTCTAATTAAAATGTATAAATACAAATTTGAAAATCGAATTGCTATTTTCGATTCAATCCGTACCTCACAATGTTGCAATGCTTTTCTCGAACTATCCTCTTCCAGTGCCAAGCTTCTCACACGCAAACTCAGACAAACATACGACAAACAAATTGAATAAATTAGCAACCAATCACACTTACTTACGAGGTCATATTAACTCATATTTGAGCAATTTTCTCAAAGAACATATTTGGGCAATGTTAAAGGAAACTTAGAAAACAAAGAAACCTATAAGATACCTGAAATCATTGGGACGGGCGTTTGGTCTGTATATGCGCACAGTCGGGTAACTCCGGACGCCTTGTTCGGAACAGAAGGAGCCATAGTCGGCACAGTCCACCGACGCAACAAACACGTCTTCAATGCTCGACACTATGCGGCTAAATCTGTCCAAAAATAATTCAATAAACTATCATTGACAATCGAATACCTTGATAAAAATTGAAATAAAATTGTAGGTATATGGTACATCAAGCAAAAAATAATACCCAAGCTGGAAAAATTAACAATTATCCGGAATTGGTCAAGAATTTAATGCGATAGAACTGACAAGATTCCACATATAGATTGTCATATGGAACAATTGTCAAACTATGTATGGCGTGATATAGTAATTATAATTTTAGCCTACACATCAATACCTTAAGATTTGAGCATCAAACGCTGAATGAATGTTGCACTAATACCTTCTGTACTCAGGAGCCATGGCGATGCAGGGGCCGCACCAGTTCGCGAAAAAATCCACCACCCAAATTTCGTTGGAGCGACGCTCCAGCACTGATGACTTGAACGAAGCTGGGCTGAGTACCTGGACTATAGAATGAGCTTTAGAATTATCTATGATTGAATGGAGAGAAAAATTATTTGCTTCATTAGAATCCAACTATATGCCATGCAGCCATGATTCCACCGATTCATTTCCAGGTTTCGTAACTTTGTCACTCGTAGCTAATTTTTCCATTTCGCAACGGTAAAATAACATCGTCATAAGGAATTATAATAGGTACCAGAGTTTTTCATCAGAAAATGTCTGAAGCAGAAACAAGGACGACATATATTATAACTCTTCTTTATCCGCAGTGCTTAACTAAAGAGAAAAAAATATAACTCAGTACTCACTGCAGTGAGTGACAGAGAGCGCATTTTCTCGTCGACGAAAACTTGAGGTCACGGACAGACGTACGGACAGACGGACGGACATGGCGAGCACAATAGTGCATTTTTCCATAAATGAGAAAATGGGCTAAAAAGATGCCTTAGAACTAAGTTCGGGGACTGTCTACTAACTAACCCGTGGGATTGAGAATATCTTTGACAAACTCGACGATGTTATGCGGGTTGTGGTGGCCGCTGTACTGGTGTGGCACAGAGCCGTTGTAGAGGATCGTCGTGGGGTACGAACGCACGTTAAAGCGTGAGCAAAGCGACCCGTGAACCGTGCAGTCAACGATTCCTGAATTACAATCACGAATAATTGATTGAGCGTGAGCAAAGCGACCCGTGAACCGTGCAGTCAACGATTCCTGAATTACAATCACGAATAATTGATATTATATACTTAATATTAATATGTATAAACAATGAGGTATTGAAAACCCAGTAAGGGTAGATATAATTCTGATTAAAATTGTAGGTTTTTAAATACAAAACTATACATTTTATTTCATTTTACATGGGTCCAGTGTCTAGAACCATCGACAAGAGGTTGACTGTAACTTACATTTACTTTTAGAGCATTTACAAAAATCATACTAAACAACATTAGGCAGCTTATGGCTTTGCACTAGTAAAAATAAGAGCATTCAAAATATTTATTTTCAAATGACATTTCTCGCTCACCAAAATGCACGGGCTGGACAGGGCGGTGCTCTAGCTGCATGAGGACCGACGCCTTCCGGAACTGCGGCAGGAGTCGCATGCAGGGCGGGCACCAGGGAGCATAGAAGTCTATGAACCAAATACTTCCCGCTGATAATACTGAGGGAAACTCCTGCTCAAGTCACAGAAACTACACATTTTCGGCAAATTTAAAATCCTTTTTACAAAAATTATATTACAGTTTTGGGTAGCAAAACTTAACAAGAAATCATGAAACACCATTAAATTTATTACAAAAATTATATGTCAGGATATTTGGGGATTAAAATCTTCGAGGAAACCGTCAAACGTATGTTATTCTATACCTTTCGACCATAAGAAACTAATGGAACACATTTGATCGAAATATGGAGCGCGATTGTGCCCAACATCAAGAATATCCTACTCAGCAGATTTCTAACACATAGAAGTTAAGAGATGCAATGGATAGTATTTACAGTTTATTTAATACTAAAATTTCTCGAGTCCATACCTTGGGAGTTAGAGTGCAGAAGTGCGGCGCGCCGGCTGCTTCACGCGCGAAATTAGCGATGTCTTGCGCCATCAAGCGACCCTGGCAACGAGAATAACTTGGATGAAAATACAGGAATATTGCAAATCATACAATTTAAAGAGAAGAATCATGAATAAAATGTTTCTATTTTCCTCCGACTGCACATAAATAGGACATAAGATAGAAATTCCTAGCTCTATAAATTTAACGATGCTATGATAAATAGCAACACCTGAAATATAATGGAAATAACAGAAAAAGGCGTTCCATGACACGTAATGAGGATAAAGAATTACATGATGCATCTCGTATCCTCCGCCAGGTTTGAAGAGAACAAATGCGGGGGTTTTTGTGATGGAGAGGCTGTCACAGTCCAGGCCTGGCGACAGCGATGAGCACAACACGCGGTGACATGGCAGCGGGGCAGCCAAGCCTGCCAACTTACGCAACTGCAATGGACAACACTTTGTTAGCTAATAGTGAATACTCCAATTATTATTTCCAGTTTAGAAAGAACACTTTCTGGTAGCAAATAAATTCAAGTTTATTTTTTGCAAATGTAAAAGTTTGAGAAGAACAAGCACAATAATTCCATATAAATGAAAATGAACAATAATTTTTACATTGGCATTTTTTCCTTTTGTGTTCGTTCTAATTTTTATGTATTTTTGATGAAAAAACAAAAACAACTGCTTTTCTCTGTTAGGGTAAAGTGAAAAATATTAACCACACAAAATTAAAAAAAAGGCAATGATAAGAAGAAAACCGCTGGTTGTTTAATATTTATACCTCATCGTCAACGTCATCGTTCTCACTGGAGAACTGCACCAGCCACCCAGGCTGACGCGACCCTTCAGTCCCAGAGGAGCTGCTGACGATCTCAGAGTGAAGCTTCTGCTCGAAAAATGTTTACAGTGCACTTCAGATTATAGTTCTTCACTATCAATATTGTACTAAAGCTCCTGTTAATTAACCTTCGGGTTATCGGTACATTAACTGTGTCATTTATCCTAACATAGAGGACAGGAACCTAGAGTTACCGTAAGTAGACAAAGTAAAAAAGTAATTTTACCAACTGAAACTGAATAAAAAGTTAAGTGAATTTTCATTCTAAATAGTTATATTTATCCATGAATATGACATTCATTCATAAAACTCACAGTGAACTCGTCGTTATCAATTAGGGGGAGCGGGGGCAAAAGGGCAAGAACATCTTTTGCAATGTCCTGAGCAGATCGATCGTCAGCAAGGATGGCAGTGGCGCTGCCCAGGACTAAGGCGCTAGGATAATACTGCAGCAGAACATCTTCATCACCCAAGCTGATGTTCAAGCTCTTGCACGCAGCAGCGTCCATGGAGCAGTCTAGGCGCCCCACGCTCATCACACCAGACTGCGAGACAAGCAATATTAAAAAAATATAACTCAGTACGTACTCACTGCAGTGAGAGAGCGCATTTTCTCGTCGACGAAAACGTGAAGTCACGCACGGACAGACAGACGGACATGGAGAGCACAATAGCGTCTTTCTTTCCATAAATGATAAAATGCGCTAAACATGGCATTGACATGTATATATTATTTGCTCCTGAAAATAATAAATAAGCTCATCAAGGAACTGCTACTTGAAATTTAATTTTTAGAGAATCAGATTGAAAATAGATTGAAAATAAATATGAAATAATTTCAAAATTAGTTATTAACTAACACAAATAATCATTTCAGAGTGATTATCCATTTTCAAAATTATTACGACATAAAATTGAAAACACATATAAATAAATTTAGCCTTTTTCAGTAATTCACTGGAACAAATAATAGTTTGTTCATGAGACAATAAAATTATCTTTTATCTGTATATTCCAGCTAGGAAATTGCAGATACTTACCTACCTATGCAACAATCAAACAAATTTATTTAGAGATACAACTTCAAGACAACTTTTTATCCAACATGCAAGCACCAAGACAATAAAGTAAGACACCAAAAATATTATGGTGTTTAAGTTAGCAACCCACAAAGATCGCTGCCAGTTTGGTGAGTGTCATCTTGAAATCGTCGAAAAGTTTGTTGCTTGAGAATGAGGCAAGAAGCCAAGGCTTGTTGCTGAGGAGGACATGTTTGTCAGGGGCGCTGTGCAGACGACGCATGTTGTAGAGCATGCCAGTCGTTACGGGGATGCCATGCCCCGTGGGCAGACGATCCAGGATGAATGAGGCCAGCAATTCTCGTGTCTTCTCCAAGTAGAATTTTTCTTTCTGCAATACATAAACTCATATGATGACAGCATAACTATAGGAAAATTAAATGATCATATTAACAATTCCTCAAACTAGCACACAAAAATACTTATATGATAAAAGAAATTGAGAATAGTTTCTACAATCATTTTTTCAGACATGAGGGGAGTAACGATATGAAATACATGGAATCTTGTACTTTTGGTAAAGGAGTTATATAACTAAGTAAAGAAAACTTGCCTTTGAGAATTTACTAGATCAAAGTTAGATGGTCACATACATGTTGTAAGATTTTAATAAACAAATGGCCTAAATTTGAATAGTTAAATAGATAAAATATAAGTGATACTGAAAAATTATAAGTCAGAAAAAAAATGATTCCTAGGAGCTCACCCCTGGGTAAGCTATTAAGGATGGGTAGCCACGAACTCCCTGCTGGGAGCACAGGAGGTATTCATCATCACAGTTTACAGCTCCAATGCGAACAACTCCTTGAAGCTCAATGCTCAGCCACCGCCAGTCAGGAGCCAATGTGTGGCAGTGACTACACATTGGGTGATAGAAGTTGATGAACCACGGGGTATCACTTCCACTCACACTGGCATCTGCATTTTTAATAAATGAGAAAACAAGTTTATTGTATATAAAAAATTAATAATTAGCTATTCAATGCGGAACATCTTAACTGGATAGTTCAGTTAACAAGATGTATAGTACATGAATACAAATGACTTTAAATGACCAATCAAATGATAAATAATTATAATTTCATAACAATCATCAAAATGATTTTTCAGGATTTTCTCCTGGAATGGATTGATTAAGTGATTTGTATTACATTAATTAATAGATTTCATTTATGAATTTGGATATTTATGTGTAGTATGTATATATATAATTTTGTGTCAACTATGAACTTGATGTGGGCTAAATGCAACTAGATATTATAACAGATATCCAGCTACTAGCTCATAGTTAAATGATAGATCTCTTGTTAAACTATATGGTAGTGCCTAAATATCTAAACAATAACTTACCAAAATCTGTTCTTGAGAGTGTAATAATTTCAGGATCATCATCATAGATACCAAAATTATCTCTGTAGTAAGTCCAGGAGTGGTAGCCTTTACCAGAGTGACTGAAATGATAGAAGATAATTATTCATAAATTGAATCCCATAACTTCTGCAGGCTTTACTTACAGCATTTACGAGTTTTCATAGCAACAGAATTTAGTAATGATGCAATTAGTGTGCATTTTGACTAAACCTAAATAAATCCTAGGCAACAGAAGAAATCAACAATTTAAAATGAAAGAAATCTAGCTTATTAGAGAAGGAAGAGAATAATTTTTTAGGGTATTATTAAATTTTTATATAATGTCAATTGCAACTAATATTCACTGTCATTGAACTAGTTACCTGTCATCAAGGCCTTCTTCTCCAAACTGGTCATATTTTTTGCGGAGCTCTTCATCCTTGAGAACTTCATATGCACGGTTAATGCGTATAAACTTCTTATCAGCATCGGGATCTTCCTAGAAAAATAACAGTACATCATTAGGATATTTGACAACATTGAATATATTTGGCAAAAACTTCTCACTTTTCAATACCTGACTTAGCTTAGGAAATATATTTATTCAAAGCATAATTAAAGGAGAAATAACAACTTTCATGTTTTGATATGATACTTTTCTATTAATGACAGTTGTATCTCATGTTACTCCAACTAAATAAAAAGATTGTGAAGATCAGCTATTTAAAAAATATTAACTGACAGTCTGACATGCTCAGCTTAATGAAATAACACATTCATTTTCAACCTCATATTGCAATGTCACACAAGTTTATACATATTTATTGGCAACTATCAATCAACAATCACCAATTAACAAGCACTGCAGTCATGCAAAAGCCTAAATTAACACACGTGAATAAGTGTAATTGGCAAGTGGTACCATCAATGCTGATAATTTTGCAAGAGCCACTGCCCGGCAGCAATAAAGTCACAGACTTCATTAGAAATTATCTAATGTAGTACAAACAAAACTGATCCTCATATTCATGGTGCAAGCAACAGTTTTTTAGTTATTATGTGGCAATTAGGCCCAAAAAATTTTTCTTTTGTGTTCTGATCAGTATCATATGGTTTCAAGGGGACTGTCTACCCTCCAGAAAAACTTCTACATTTATCATCCGATCTTGCTGAAATTTCATACACATACGTAAAATGTAAAATAAAAAACAATTTGCTCATATAAATTTTTTGAAAAAAATGAAAGAAAACATAAAATTTATAGAATACGGCCAAAAAGGGTGTCATGGTCTCCGAAACGTTTTCCTTTTTAAGAAATGGTGAATTTTCTGGCTATTTTCTTTGCTTTTAAATTTTTGGCCAAAAAGGGGTATTTTAGAAAATCTATCTCCTCTTACAAATATCATGCTACAACATCGAGATTCGAGACACGTATCATTCGATTTGTAACTAAATTATCTAGCGGCTCTATCATTCCAATTTTTCATTTTCCCCATTGTTTTTTTATGTGCGTTTTTCCCATTTTTCCACTTTTCCCTGCCCTCCCTGCCCCTTCCCTCCCATATATATGACAAACCATGCACAAATTAAATAAAAGGGATGATAGAGTCGATAGGTATGGTCTTTACAAATCAAATGATATGTCTCTCAGACTCTCATTGCTGTAGCTTGAAAACTGTAGGAGGAGATAGATTTTCAAAAAGACAAAAATTCAGGGGAGCCAAATAAAATAAAATTCATTGAAAACAGATGAATATGCTAAAAAAAGTATTGATATTGTAGCCCAAGCTTTTCCATTGCCAATTATCTGCATTCAAGGTACCAGCACGTGTCTTTAGACCTATTTATGTCCAATTTAACGTGAATAATAAACTATTAACGGGAATTTTTATATATAAATATATATATAAATATTCATTTTACATAACTTGACAACTGCATTCCGCAAAAACTATTACATGTACATCCATGGTAGTGGCTTTGTTGAATGTGTCTTGTTTGTAGCTTTCAAACGAGTGCAAACACTTTGCAATTAACCTAAGTAATGACATAAATACCATTTATTTGTAAATAATGTTATAAAATAACCATTTTATAAAAGTTCAAGACTGCATTACACAAAAAATTATTGCATGTACATCTATGGTATAGTAGCTTTGTTGAACGCGTCTGGTTTGTAGCTTTCAAACGAGTGCAAACATTTTGTAATTAACAAGAGTAATGAGCTATATATACAGATATAGTTCAAATAAATCTTTGTACATATTGTTAAAAAATGTTCATTTTACATATTTTTAAAATTGTCTTCTGCAATAACTATAATGCACACTGCACAAACATGCGGTAAACTGCGTTTGACGCGCCTTTTCAGCAGCTACAAAATGCGTCAAGAAAACAGAAAAGCCAAAATTTCTGATTTTTAGGGTAGCCTAGATGGTCCCCTTAAGGTATAAGCAGGCTAAGCAGCAAGCTGGGTAAGGTATGTCATAAATAGAGGCAGCTTGAATTATCCATGTCAGTTTTGTGGCATTGATTCTCTGATTGACAGCAAACCTATTTGGAAATTGGGGTATTATTGCAGATTAACTACATCCAAAAAAAAGGGTGTTTTTTTTTTTTAATTATATGTTTTTTGGGGTGTAGATTACGAATCTGAAATCCATTTTTGGCGGTCGGCATCGGAAAACCGATTTTTTTCGCGACTTACTAACATGGGGGTTACGTAACTTACGTTACCCACTCACCTTTATTTACTAACATGGGGGTTACGTAACTTACGTTACCCACTCACCTTTATATAAAGGGTCGGATTGTTCATCGAAATTTTACAAAAAGCTCTTAGGTTGGGTTAAGTCAGCCAAGTTCATTTTTTTAGATAGCATTTTGATCTAAAAGGAACCTGGGCGAACCAACCCAACCTGCGAGTTGGCGTTAGGTTGTGATCTCTCGATGTGGCAATGTATCTCCAGATTTATGGACAAAGAAGACGAAAATGTTACCCGTTGCAGTGCAACGGGTAAGTTTCATTCAAGATGTCGTGCGCTACGTGTAGACTCCTGCGTCTCGAAAGAATTTTCTCGAAATGAACCGGGACAGACGAAACGAGACGAGAAAATTCCGGGAAAAAAATAACGGGACAGAGGGTAAAATTTGTCCCGGAATAAACGTATGAACCGAGACAAGACTTCTGTCCCGGACTTTAAAACTTGTGTCCCGGTAAATTATGAACCGGGACGAGACAGACAGATTTGAAACGAGACATAACGAGACGAGACGAGATTTGTCTTAATTATTTAAGTCAAAACAAGTTTTTCGATCACGATACGAATCATTTCGAAAACATGGGTTGAAGAATGATAAGTTAGCCCTTTATTGCTACTAATAGGGCCATAGACAGTTACCAGTTAAATTGAGTTAATTGCAGATTTAGCAAAATTTGTCTAACTGAACTGGCAGTTAATTAGTGGTCCTACAAACACCGCAAACCTGTCGATGTATGGCTGAGTATTGAGTCAAAAATATTACTCTTAAGTCTTAACTATAGAAGGCTTCGATAGCACTTATGGGAACTGTACGAATATGAGCGCATAGGGAGTAGGGACGCAGGGTCTAGAATAGTCGGCCAATTAGTAGACAGTGGAGTGGAGTCCTGGTAAGATATTCCTAATAATACTAAAGCTAGTATTAGATTATCTCTGCCTTTAGTAAAATTTTGTGCTACGCCTCCAGGAAATCTTCACAATTGCGCAGTTTCCTGAATTGTTATCAAACACTTGGGCATGTTTAACGTGTATTTAGAAAGGATACACATGTATATTTCGAGTCCTTTTTTTGAAGATCAAACTATTATATTTTTTCCAACTTCAATCTTGTTGTATGTTGAAATGTTGTTAATATTTCTTTCCAAACTTTTTGTTGAAGGAGATTGCTTAAGGCAAGATCGATGAATCTGATTCCGTGATTGAGCTGGAGGCAAATCAAAGTCTGTCCAGTCAGCCGATGTCACCAGCTACAGCTAGTATGGCCTCCTCCAAACCATCATAGAACACAGTTTTGAAAAAAACGTGTTTTTCCATTTTTTTTTGCCTGTCAAGATTAAGTACCATATTAAACCACAACATCTATTCGTAGCAAAAATTATTTCAATTGCCGAGCTCCAATCAGAATAGTAAAAGGATACGTCTCAAGTTATTATATAAATGCAGAGGTAGGCAGTAGCGCGCTACATATAGCGGGAGCGGTAGCAGCGCTACATTTAAGCAATTGTAGCGGTAGCGGTAGCGCCCGCTACATACGTATTTAAGTAGCGATATGAGGTTTTGCCGCTACAGCGTTACCGCTACATTTATAGATAAAGCCTTTAAATTTTACTTAATAGTATTAAATATTATTTAAAAACCAGCATGATACATACATAGTAGCTATAAATTACAGAGTAAAACTACGAAAGATTTCGGTGTAATGTTGTCAACCTCAGCCTGTTACTAGTGTCAACATGTTAGTTGTTACCAGAGGTGGGCAGTAGCATGCTACATGTAGCGGCTACTACAATTTCGGTAGCGGCTCTACATTTAAGCAATTGTAGCGGTAGCAGTAGCGCCCGCTACATTTAGAGCATGTAGCGGTAGCGGCCGCTACTTTTCAAAGTAACGCTGCCCAGCTCTGTATAAATGTATGATGATAAGCCAAAGTTTACACCACATCAATAATTAATTCGTCTCGTTATGTCTCGTTAAAATAATTATAAATTCCGGGAAATTTTAAGGTACCTATTTTAACCGGGACGTCTCGTCTCGCCTCGGTATCGTCCCGGAATTCTTACGGAGGGCTGAAAATTGTCCCGGTTTTTATTGCGAACCGGGACAGAGCCTGTTGTCTCGTCTCGTCTCGTCTCGGATAAAAAAAAAAAACCAAACGCAGGAGTCTAGCTACGTGTGATCGGTATTATTGCAAAAAATTGGTTTTCCGATGCCGACCGCCAAAAATGGATTTCAGATTCGTAATCTACACCCCAAAAAACATATAATTAAAAAAAAAAAACACCCTTTTTTTTGGATGTAGTTAATCTGCAATAATACCGAAATTGGAAAATTAGAATAGCTATTGGGCATCAGTTTCCAGAAACCAGGTCCAGGGCTAAAAAAATAGTTTCACATGTGATTTTAAAAACTAGCAGGTGAAAATAGGATTTTTTAAACTAAAAAAATTGGGACACAATCATAGTCTCGTAGAAATAAGTGAAATTGGCCAGATGCAAAATCATTTTTGTCCAATTCATGGGTGGCTAACCCGTGGCTTCAGCTTAATTTTCACTTTAGACAGTCACAGTAATATAGTAGGTAGTAGGTATACATCTATAGTTCTAACTTCTAATACTACAATATGAAATAAATAACAGCTTGAAAATTTATTAATAATGAAGTCTTTGAAAATGTATTAATAATTTCTTGATCTTTGTTTACACCAGAAAAGGTTAGGTATTTTATTTTTTTTAACTCATAAACCCACAGGATAGTACAGATCCATAAATTCAGTTGCAGCAGCCTTTGAAAAATTTAGATATTTTCTAGCAGACAAGGTGTGACTGACAGTTTAGGCTCCAACCTTCATGTCAAGGGACAACTTACAAGGTTGACTAATTAGTAAGGGTAAGCCGGTAAGGCTCTGCAAAATTGCAACTAAAGCATTGGCGATAGAAATAGAATAAATAGCTCACCAAATTTTTATCTGGATGCATTTTTAACGCAGTTCTCTTGAATGCCTTACGAATATCTTGAGTAGTAGCACTTTTGTCAACTCCAAGCAAAGAATAAAAATCTTCACTTGCAATGCCGCAGCCAAACATCAAAGTAGCTGCTAAGCAGCTGATTGTAAGAATACATTTCAAGACATTCATATTGAGGTTTACCCGCAACCGCAAGCCGCTGACAATTTCTCTAAAAGCGTGAGCAAATCATACCACATAAAAACTGTCACTCAGTAGTCAGCATCCATGACCTCGAGAGTCGAGTCCTACACTGACACTCCCACGCCTGCTGCCGGTCGGCAATTTGCACTCGGCCTGCACCCACGGATTAGCCGTAACCACTTGCCAGCAATTTTGTTATAAATTTTTTTTCTTTGTTCACTGTCAGCTAGAAATATGAAAATCTTTGGTTTAAGAAAATAATCATCAGCAGTTTACAGTTGATACGTGATTATCTCATTTTCGTAAGTTGTAAATATTTTGAAAAATGCCTTCAGTCGACTTGAAAATAACAAAATTTCATAGTACAATTATTCGAGATCTAGGTACTGGTTTTTAATTCGGAAATATATGAAAAATCTCAGTTAAATTTCAATTTTGGAAAATTCTAAATTATGGAGATTGGAAATGTTCTGTGTATATTTTTAATGGGCCATGGGCCTATTTCTTCAGTGCCGACATTTCTATTCTATTCTATAACCACGAATTATCCTGGGTTCCATTTAGCCAAAGTCATTTCTATTTTAAACGGTGTAAAAGTCTGAAAGAAATTGTGATCCCTAAACATGGGCGCTAGCATATTATTACCTTGCGTTTATACACAACTAACCGTTATATTATAATAATATTTGGGGGCGGTTTCCACGTTTATTAGGCCGTAGGCCAGTCGCCGATTTTTAACATCATAAAACATTCGCAGCTTGTTTCGGTCTCGAACACGCAACTCACCGCTCTGATTTTGCTGTGTTTAAACTTGTAGATTCTGACAGGACACTGTCGCACAGAGCTGGGATCACACCCGCCCCTCTCTGCTCCAATACTAATACTCACCACGGAGGTACAATTTTCTTCCCTCACATCCAACCCAAACTCAAGTACTAACAACCAAATGTGAGTTTAGAATCAATTTTCATTCCATTTTAGACATTCTGCTCTCGTACAATCTCTCCTTTTTAGCACATTTTCTCAGTTATGGAAAAAATGCACTATTGTGCTCGCCATATCCGTCTGTCTGTCTGTCCGTCTGTCCGTCCGTTTGTCCGTGACTTCAAGTTTTCGTCGACGAGAAAATGCGCTCTCTGTCACTCACTGCAGTGAGTACCGAGTTATATTTTTTCTATTTGGGGGCGCACTCACGCAAGCAAATTCATTACTGACTAGGTTCAATACTCGTGGAAAAAATAACAATTATTGTGAATTAACAAGTTTGTGGGGACAAGAATTTGGGGTATTGGGCTGCAGTAGCATTAATCACTCATTGGGCGGAGAGCCTCGCATATCCTTCTTATATTTGTTTTTCGTAATAGCCTTTTCATCTTAGCTGAGTCCAATACTCACTAGCTCCTCAGCTCAAAATTGAGCGCGATTTGCGAGTACAAGTTCTGAGCGAGCGACTAAGTTTTGACGAGTTTTGCTCTACATAACAGGCTTAATTGAAGGTAACGCTGATATAGTTTTCTTTCAGCAGGAAACATTTTAGCGCATTTTCTCATTTATGGAAAAAATGCACTATTGTGCTCGCCATGTCCGTCTGTCTGTCTGTCCGTCATTCTGTCCGTGACCTCAAATTTTCGTCGACGAGAAAATGCGCTCTCTATTAATCTTCGTTCCTTACTTAATCTCTCGGTTCCTTAACGGATGTCTTGATCTTCGTTTCAATTAACCGAGTTGAGGAATCACAGCTAGTAATGTTAAAATAACTCATGTTATGTATTATCGCTCGGTTATTATGCAGATATTTGGACTGTATGATACAGCAAATATGAATAAGTTTTGCAGAAAGAATCATGAATAACTAAATTATGTGCAACTTCAAACAATATAGTGATTTCGAACCGAAACCGAATTATCACACAGAATATACTAGCCGTGACATATATAAAAATAGAATAATTCAAACATGCTATGAAAATAATTTATAGTTATTTCAGGACTTAATTTTGAATAACAGACTAATTGAGAATGTCTGGAATATTTCAGATAAGTTACACAAATTTACTACGAAAAAATGCCGTTATGATAGTCTGAGGTCAGCGCAAACAGACGGCACGAATGCTATTGAGCTTCGGGAAACTTGGAGAGAATCAACATATAAAAATAAAGGACACAAAAGCAAAATATTGGTACAGACAGCGTATACAGTCTTTTAAAACAATTCGTATTTTAACCCAACAATATCTACAACACGTGTTCTTCGTAATATTGTCCGTAGTTGAGCTTAGTACAACATTCAATTGCAGACATAAAATTGTCAAAAGTATGTGATGGTTTCGTGCCGAAGAAAGATATTATTGTGATGATTAATTCACATCTCTCGCTCGCTATGTATCCATGCTTCTAAGTTAGTCTTCATGCGGCAACGCGTGCTCTCAAAGCACTCATTACCTTCAGTCAATTTGCAATAAAAGTCGCTCCCGTCGCTCGACAGACCGATTCCGACGACGATGGTTCCTGAGCACGAACGTTCCAGCCAAATGCTTGCGTCAGAACGCACGCAAAACAATGTTTAGTGCTCACGGACCTTGCATGTAGCGGTAAAAAATGGCATATGAAAAACATTATATGTGTGAAAGAAGTTTAGACTATTAAAATATAAGATAGGAGTAAAATTTAAAGATTATCCTGAATTTCTTTCTTATTAGTCTATTTTTGTAACAATTTTTGATGATATGAATACCAGTATATAAATTCCCTCGAAAAACTTGATGTTTGTCCATAAATGCCAGCCTAACAGTAAACAACATATCTATCATAAAACACAATATAGCGTCTGCCAAAGAATTAACTATTAATCTCATTCACTAATCTAATTCATATAATTAATCTAAAAGTTTATACTTATTGTAGAAACACGAAAGTCATTTCGAACGCAGCTAGCTCGTCGAGATGACGTCACGAGAAGAGCTCTCTGAATAAGTCTAATTCCAGGCAATTAACAACATAGAGTGGCTCAAGAGAGAGGCAATGAAACCTTAATGGGAGTGTTTCTTGTAAAGCGCCTCCGTCTGTTGACGTCACGAATTTTTTATTTCCCTTAAGAAAGTAAACTCGAGAAAAGCTTAGGAAGTCTTAAATGTGAACCCCAGCTGATATACGATGAAGTAGGCATAAAACTGTGTGAGAAGTGTTAGTACAAGCGTTCAGTATATATTTAGAATAAAGGGACAAGCGGAAAAATCGTAATTCGGGACAAGGATTTCTCAAATAAAAATGCAAGAAAATTCTTTGTTATTCCTATGAATAACAACATGAGTACGTAAGTTGATTAATACAAAAATTGTGAATTGTGTAATATTGAACATTAAAGTAAAGTTACCAATAACAAAAGTAGATTTTCAATAAATGCTTAGTCACTGATACAATTGAAACGAGATACCAATTTGTATCATCAATGATTGACTGCAATACTTTTTTAAGCTTCATTGATTCAATTTCACAGGCAGAGCAAAATAGAAAAAAATGAAGATTTGTTTTCCTCATCTTTTACATAAGACTTAATATTTATGAAACGTCTTGGAAAATTTATCGATTTGTGTCTATAACTGTATTTGTATAATTACACATCTAAGTGAAAAATTTTTACGGAAAAACATATGAAATAAACTTCAATTTCAAACATAAAGAATCGAGATATGACTTCTTTTGGCAAGGTCCACAAGCATTGGAGGTTAATTCATTCCATGCATTTGCAAGTCACATCTCAATATAAACAATATTTTATCAAAATTCGTTGCTGGGATCACAATGTCGTCACTGAAAAAAATACTTGTGATGGCGCGCCTTGCTCGGTTCAGCTGGCAAACGAATACTCGGAAAAATTAGTGGGTGTTACTGTCCAAGTACTGACACGCTTTCTTTCCCGCAGCAGGAGCCGAGGACAGACGTAGCACTGATACGCCCTTTTACCGGGCGAAACTGGGTCAGGCTGACACAATCAAGGGCCAAAAAATGTATAACGCACAGCTATTTGTACAAAGTCCCTGTGATTTCTATGAGCGCATTCAAAAAAGTATTATTTTCGTAGAGAGCGGAGCTCCGGGACCGGACGGAAGCAAGAAAAGAAGAAGGGAGGCAGAGAATGGGTACTATGGGTGATGACGGGTGATGGAAGGGGACGGCGATGATAGGAGAGGGTGATGGAAGGGGTGTGTGATGACAAGGAAGGGTGATGGAAGAGGTGTGTGATGGAAGGGGATGGTGATGACAATGGGAGGTGATGGGAGGGATGGGTGACGATAGCTCCAAATTATACGCTACACACAACACGGCTGAGAGGCAGTCCCTCACAGACAGCTCTGAACATCTCTACTGCCGCAGCAATATTAGGGCACAAACTTTAAATCCTGGTGTATGGAGCTTGCCTTTAAGTCAAATATGTACTTTATTTGTTGTTGAAATGACGAAATCTTTTTATTCATGGGATGAGAATATAAATATTGAAACTGATGCCAAATTTTGGTTTAATAGAGCAATTATAAATTTTTCTATTATAATGATATCTAGACGGTTATTTCAATGCGGAGATTTTTATTTAGAGGAATTTATTTTCTTATGATAAAGGTTCTTCAGAAAAGGTCAGCAAATCTTGCATTCAGAATATTACTGCATCAGCATAACAGTCAGCAGAAGCAAAAAACTCATCGATCAGAAAATGGTAAAATGACTGAGTGTTCCGCACAGCAGTTGTACAACAAGAACACTTAGGCACCTCTGTACAAGACACATAATCGTTTTTGCGCCAAGCAACTGCCATGGACTTTAATTCCTTAGCTGGAAACTTTCCAGCCTCTAGGAATCAAATTTAATGGTCCGTAATGCAATGACCGCCTTTTGACCTCGTCCGCTTGTCGTCGGAATCTGCTGTCTGACTTACGAAGAACTGCTGGACTCATTTTTTTTAAGCGGATGCACAAAGGGAATGTGAGATTTCAGCAGCTGGGTCTAATTGGTGCATGTGAGCTCGTACCAGTACGTTTTCGTTACAATTTAATGTTTCTGTAGTAAATCTAGTATATCGGACCATAATATTTCAGAACATCGTATCAACGTTGCTGTAGTATTTACTGTACAGTGTATTAGAGCACCGTATCAACTTTGCTGTCGTATTTACAGTATATCATAGCACCGAATCAGCGTTGAAGTAGTATTTACAGTATATCAGAGCACCGTATCAACGTCGCTGTCGTATTTACAGTATATCAGAGCACCGTATAAACGTTGCTGTAGTGTACGGTGCTCGAAGTATTTATAATTATAAAACATAGGAAATAATATTTACGTTTGGATATATAAACATTTCTCGCGATAATTTTTCTGTGCTCGATTAAGCTTCAAATCACGCATAAAGGTGTGAAATAAGCTAATATCTCAGACATAATTTTAGAAAGTGGTCATTTCACTTCTTAATCGAAATTTGAACAGGTTTCAAATTTCAATACCCTTTACACCACATTCTTTTGAGTCGAAACCTCAATTTAAGAACAATGTTCATAGTTAAAACTAATCCTCTTCATAAATAGTGAATTTATCTAAACTCGATCAAATTGGGTCAAGTCTGAATCCTATTCCCTGAGGAACGTCGAATATCGGACCAATATCCGCAACCGGTGCCTCGGTTTCATTATTTTCGATGGAGAGCGTCCGTTCTGAGTCGTTTGTCACAATCACAACAAACCATTTAGCGGAGACCGCCGCTGGAGCCACGAATCGATGTTATCCAAGACTTCTTAACAGTTATCGTGGAGAGTCGGTACTCTGGACAAGTTACGACTTCCGCGATGCTTGAGAGTTCTGCGCTTTGTGAGCCAAGAAGAAGCAACATTAAACATCATCTGTAGTCAGGAATTTTTTTTCGAGTCCGGTCATATAATAGAAAAATCGGAGTTCGTGAGAGGAGTTAGGGCAGCATCGATAAAAAATTCGGAAATCGATTCATCTTTGAAAATCAGTTTCCGTTTTATTGAACTTCCGTTACATCAAGCAAACTCTTCTGTCATTTATGAACGCGTGTCCATATATAAGAAACGATATATTTAAGAAACGTATTTCTAATTTTTGTTTGCGTATAGAAATAACTTTCTTCAGTCCCTAACGGTCAGGAATTTTAGGCGACTAAAATAAAATATCTGAAGTTAGTGTTCATGTGGATAAAGTAGGAAAACAAAGAGCAGTCGCAACTGAAAGAAAGAGAGCAGTCCTCGCAGAGAGCAGGTCAGCTTGGGACGGTAGGGCGGGAGGTCCCTTCGCTTTTCGAGGGAAACAGCGCGGCTGGCACGCAATTGAGTGGAGCCTTCAGTTAGAGGCTGAGTGTGGAAGTGAGAGGGTGTGTCTCTGCAGTTATGGCGTCTTCTTCTGGGTTACGCTCGAGTCACACAGCGATTTGGCTCATCATCGCCGCGTTCGGAGCCATCGTGGCTGCCGAGGAGATTAGAGTAGCCGAACTAATAGCTTCCAAAGCTCCGGCTGAGCCGTTGGCACTAACGTCGGCTCGTCGAAGCTCAAAAGATACAGCTGCTGGAAACTCGGAGTTCATACAGAATGATAAGAAAAAATCTTCATCCGATAACGAAGTGTTTGATGGATCAACAAAGGGACAGCTCAACTTGGTGCTTGCAGAACTGCGTGAAGTTAGGTCGGAAATTCGGGAAGCACGCCAGGAGCACGGTCGTTTGGCGAGCGGCATCTCTGAGATTAGTGGTCAAGTACGAACTATCAGCGAACGCAAAGACCAGATAAAGAAAAAGATCAGGAAGCTCACAAAAAGCTTGTCAAAGAAAGACCATCACCGTAAGGTAAAGAGTGGTCTTCGCGCTCTACAGCAAGACCATGAACGCATCCTTCAGGCCATGTCAAAAGCCAAAATCCTGAACCGGGTCTCGCCTCGGCGCAACAATAGGACTAATCAAGCAAATCCGGACGGCACGCACGCCGGGAAAAGGTCCAGAATGGAAACTAATGAAGTCGGACTCGGGGAAGAATCCGATAACGTAAGCGAAGAAGAAGTAGTCAAGCCTCAGAAAGAGCACAAGAACAAGAAACGGGGCAGGGGTAATCATAACCACCAAGAAGAAATCGAAGAAGTTACCCGGGAGAGTTTGCCTGTCGTCTTATCTTTCGAGATCGAACGTAAATCCACAACGACCACAGAGCCAATCGAAATAACTACTCCAGAATTGCGAAGTTTAGTTGAAGACGCAATCACTCCGATACCATCGCAGGCTCCATCAACAACCACCACCACCACAACCACACCTGGTACCACTTCTGCCACAAGTACCACATCAACTTCAACCACAACCTCACCTCCAACTATGGCAGCTACTACCACAACCACGTCCATCACGGTACCACCTGAGTCGACTGAAGAGCCCCTACCAACGAATTGTTATGAAGTTCTACAGCACGGCAACTGGACCAGCGGTATATACACCATCCAGCCCAACAACATGAAACCGATTCAGGTGAGGATTAAATCGCTAAATGAATTATTTAATAATATGTTGAGATCTGCATGATTATACAGGGACATAAGTGAAAGCCGGAACAACTGAACACGAAGAAAGTAGGATTGATGGGTTGCTTCGCATGCATATACAGCAATGTCAAATATGATTATTTGGTTATTTGGCTAATTGATATTACATATTATTCTCTAATAGAATCCTAGTCTGCACAACGAGTTCTAGTGCTAATGAACAATCATTGCTTGAATGATGGAAGTAATCTGCTCATACGCAAATGCCAGTCACATTTGCAGCATGCGATTTCTTACTCGAGTTTGCGTAAATATTGTTTCACAAATTTGCCACCTACACGCCAAGCATTAAGTTACATCTTCAGTCAAATTGCGCACTGACTTATATGGTGAAACAAAGAGTGTCATACTCCAGGGATCGTTGCCATATTATAAATCATAAAGTGACTGTTAATTCAAAAGCAAAAATAGGCAAAGAAATTTCACGAAGAAAATGTTTTTTTTCTAGATATAGTTAATTTTACTAGCATTATCTTATTTAGTTTTTGCCTTGATTATTATTTTTAGTGAATCAATTTTCAATTTCGGCACACAAATGATCTTATTGCTTTGAGCACAAACCGCATTCGTAATTCAAGCTAATCCAAACTTTTGTATGAAGGCGAAGCTGTAAACCATTTATAAGTGGCTTAAATTCTATTTTAAAATTTTTGGCAAATTTTAAATCCTATTTATCCAAGATGCAGAAAAAAACATAATTACACAGTATTGAACGTAACATTGAGGTAACCGGGATATTGCAATGCTCGATGTAATGTCCGTAGACTAGAAAACGAGAAGATTCTTTTGAACAATTTATTATTCATTTATTGCCTATTACGCTAATTGCAAGCACTAACGTTGGGGCTGATTGGAATAAAAAGCATAGCAAATAATATTCTACTTCATATAAAAAATAATTCTCCAGCCATCTTAATAACAATGATTTAGATCTAAAACGCACGCGCTTGGACTGTTAAATGATTTGAGACAAAAAATTTACGCACTGAGCAGACAAATGTGTTTCAGTGCAATATCCGGACACACATAAATGTCCAGTTCCTCTTGCCTATATGCGACAAACAAGCGACGATCCCCTGTACTCCTGTGATTGTAAGAATTAGTCCAACAAAAGCCTTCTCCTTAGCAGGGTTACCGAAGAGAAAGCCTCTGAGCAGCATCTGCATACGGACAGCTAACGCATGACAAGCTTTAGTGTCAAAGTTGCTATGGAGCTCAACTTTGCACGGCTGGTAACAGAACTTGGAGGATGGCATTGGTCGAAACAATGAAAGCTGAGAGCGCACGATCGTAACGCAGCTGTAGGATAATCTGCTGAACTTTTCGTACAATAAAAGGTGCGGATGAGTACAAACATGAGTAAATAACTCATTTGAAACACATAATTGGTTTTGATTAGGGTAAGAAATGATCATCTCCGAGTAATTTCATAACTGTCGCATTTTAGTTTGGCGGAAAACATACAGCGATGGGAATTTCAAGTTCTCTAGAGGAGATGGCATAGTATTAGGTGAGTACTAGCTATAACAAATGCATGATCGCAATGAAAACACGTTAATGAAACATTTAAGTGTATTTCAGTACAACAGAAAATACTGCTGTCTTTGAGCTCAAAATAAAATATTTGGCATGGCATTGCTTGGGCTCAAATACATTTAGATTTTACACACTTTCAACGACGGTATTGTAAATTTGAACGGACTCATGTAACATATTATAATAGAACGTAGATTGATAACTTATAATTTTTTCGAAGCAGAGTGCAGCGCTCAGAAATTCTCTCGCAGGCACTCGAGCTTTAACTTCTTTTCAAGGATGGAATTTCATGACTTCGAAAATTGGGCCCGCAAGAGGACGATTATGTAAAGCGCTATGGAAGACGCAACGAACGATCGTTGCAGGGTAAGCTAGTTAGGTGTGAACTACTCGTTGACACTCGTTGAAGATAATAATAATGTTATGCTATAACCGGGCTTGTTTTAATGGAATTGACTACCCCAGTTAAGATGTAGTATAAGGGGCAATTGACTCAAAGCCAAAACTTAACTATATCCACAACTCAAACTTGATTGTGAATGCACAGAAGCCAAAATCAATATTTCGGACATCTATAGGCGGTTCATCGTTATAAAAGTGCAACTGTGCAGGCTTTTAAAATATCTTTGTGGTGGAATTTCAGAAGTGGAATATTTCGATCAAATAAAGAGAGATCGAAGCAATTTGATATCACGAGTTCACTATCGTGCATCTTCATAAAGACATGAATCATAATTAATTTTCTACTACCGCATCACAGAATAAATTTTTGTCACTTCAATTAAAGTAGAAACTCTAACATTTCACTGAGTAAACATACCGCTCGCTCTATAGAGTCCGCGCACTCGTTCTCCGCTACACTTAACAACCCCGCCTCTAGAATACACTTGACCAAGAGTCAACGTTAAAACTAAGAGAGTTATTCAATATTTTTATTCAATGAACAAAACATTGAACAGTAACACAGTTTGAGTTACACTTCAAAAACCACCGCAACATTTGTCATGAACTTCATGTATGAATTGTAGAGCTCGTGCGGTTCGTGCCATTAGTGACCGCGAAGAAAATGTAAAAATATCGATTTATTTCTTTCGAATTAATGTTCGAATTAATGCTTCAGAGATTAAACTGCGAATTTTCTTAATCAACTAGGAGAACATTGTCAAAAGACGTCTCAAACAATTCCGTTTCGAGTATGAATTATTTAACATATCATTTGTAAATTTTTCGATCATTCTGCTCAATAATTGCACAGCAAAAATAATCTGTGAAAGCAAGTTAATGCTTAAGGTATGTATCATTCAACGCATATGCAATGTCATAATTGCTCATAATAATAAATCTTACGACATGGAGCTCGAGTATGATCATCTAGAACAAATTAACGATGATATATCCCGCAAGCCGGCATGCTCATTCGATTAAAAAAAAAGACGCATTTACATCCGAATGATGGAATTTCAATGTTATTATTTCTGATTATAGCAGGCCTTTTAGACACCGCGCTTTAAAAAAGCGCGTATGAGTACACTTGATGAGTACACTCAAACTGACATGTTTGTTGATAATGAAACACAACAATAGTGGGATAAGAGAAGCACTAATTATAAATAATAATATGGAAAGATTTAAAATTGTTAATAACTTTTTGTCGATTGAATGTTATGGTATAACTAATCATAAATACAATCTACTTGCCGTTTCTTCCATGTCTTTTCCGTTTTACTAAACAGATATCTGCCCAAACTTGATCAGAAGCATTAGGAAATAAGACAGCTGCCCCGCTCATGTATTTTGAACATCAGTCAAAATACACAATTTTTTATTTTCATTTTTTTTGTCAAAAGCCTGAAATAATGGTCAAGCATTAAACTAAATGTGGATCTACTCCAATTCACGGTAAAATTGAAATCCAATTAAGATTTAATTAGCGCTTAGAAAATGCTACGGCGAAAAGAATCTAAAAATTTGAAAATCGAAAAAATATTTTTCTATGAAACCAGAAAAGTTAAGAGCGCCGTTGGCAAGCCCCACAGGCTGTGACAGCCAGGGTGCGCAGATAAGGCTTCAACAGAGTGCTGCAGTGCCGTCCTTTGTCGTCAATTTCGAGCCAATAAACTGCGTCTCTCCAAGACCTTGTATCGAATATCAATATTCTCAGACGATTTATGAAGTCAAAACGTCCGCGGCAAACCATGTTTGTCTTCTAAATCGTTGAGACCAGCTTGCCAAAGTACATAGTTTCGCATTTTGCAGTGAAAATCCGTAAAACAGGCAACCAATTTTTCTCCCAACAACAGGCTTGTCGACAGCCCTTTATTTTGCAGTCCCGAAAAAACGCCCGTCCGAAAAAAATATTCAGCGAAATATTAAGGAAAACTACGCCACTCGTGGAGCGTGTACGACATTCTAATAATACTTCATTTAATTAAAATGACCCGTCGTAAGTTTTGCTGACAGCCAACGTACATCCATTCGAATGCCAAAATATCAGTCATAGCCTTTAGCAACTACGCAAAACCGAAAAACTTGACGCATTTTTAGGCATACGGTTGCAAATTTAGCATTCAGGAAGCGCAGCTCAACATCATTGGTAGGCGATGTGTTGGTGTGTTGCGCTCGGCTTGTTTACTCCGTGGTAAAGTGTATCAGGTAGCGCTCGGCCGTTTAAATTTGCAGCTCTTGTGTAAATTTTGTGAATTTGTCGGCAGTTGTGGACCCCAACGCCCGCAGCTCAGGAGCAAAGTGGCGGCATGTGTTCCGTGCCTGCGGAGCAAGCGCCGGTCAGGGTCGCTATAAATCAGCCTCACTAAACGGGACAAGTATATACGAACTTTATATAGACTGGCGCGTGCGGGCCCAGTCCTCAATAGCAAGTTAATGCAGCCGGGGAAAATGACGGTCATTTAGAGTTACTCTCCATAAAGACCGATGCCAGTTTATGATAAATGCAGAAAAGTACCCGTTGACCGCAATATAAGCTAGTAAAAATACAAATGAACTTAAAATAATTTGTTCACAATTTGATGACCAGACAGCAATTATTCCATCAACAGAACCAGAGAAAACTGTGAAGGAATATGGAAATATGCGCCAAATCGTAACTTCAAAGAGAGATAAATCCATTTATGATATTAGGGGATATTAGGGGAGCTTCCAGCGCAAAGTTAAAATTTGGATCGAAAGTATGGCGTAGCAATTGGAATTTAAGCGAGAAAGGAACTTCCAGGACGTGGCGCACGAGTTTGGCGTCGTCATTTTCAGGGCATTATGCGCAATTTTAGACGACACCCTAACTTCAAATTTCTCTTTTGTCGTCTGATGAAATTAATTTAAACTTCGAGTGCTTGAGGTTTGTTAAAAAAAGTTGGAATGCGGGCGCCTAGCGGA